GCAAACTGTACAATCAAGCATTTGTAGGAATGTGAGTAGCTGTAATCCTTCCATCTTTCATTTTTAAGCCAACAGAAAACTCTGTCAGACTCTTGATAAGCAGCATTTTCATATTGGTAGCTCGACTTTTGGCATTTATGATAGCAGTTCTTTCTGTGGTAAAGAATGTATCTTGATTCTCCCAGGGAAAAAAAGGTATCAAACACTGCATAATGCAAAATCCATGTAGCCAAATTAAAATTAACACCTGGTGCTGAATAACTGGTTTGAGAGCACATATGTTTTAATATTCAGTTTGAGTAGAAAAGCTTACACTCTTCAGAAGAGATCCATTATATTCTTCATGGATTAGAATGATATACAGCATTTAGAGAGCTACATATGTGCCCTTTGCAAGGCTAGGCTGCATATCCCAGGGCATTTGAGGCATTGCAGAATATAGTTAACCCTGAGCCTATCTCTGCTGGATAATGGCATACACCTGCCAGACATCTAGGGAAAAAAAAAACAACATGATACTTAGATTGGATTCCTTTTAGAAGGCCTCTCATTTTTGCAGAAGATATTTCAACATGTAGACAGTAACATTTGTAATTCAATCCTGCTGACTAGCAGAACTGAGCATTGGAATGATTTTTAAAATAAGCTGTTGCATGCTCATTTTCAACTCAAGTTATTACAGTCTTAATTTGCCATATTACACACAGACAAACCTAGGCTCAAGTCTTCATATTTAACATTAATACTAGCTGATGGCAATGAAATAATATTTAAATTAATAACTTTGGTGTTCATGGACCTAAGTGATCACTGACTTCCAGTATTAAAGAATACATTAATATATTCATTAATTAATTAACTGTTGGCTGTTATCTTCATTGAAGTATTTCATGGAAGTAGTTTGAGCAATGCTGGAAGAAAATTGTGTGTTTTTCTCTAAATAGAGAGACATAAATATTGTGTTTGTCGTAGTTACTGATATTGAACATGATTCTCAAAAGATATCAGAAGAGCTTCATGGATTTAAATGAAGGGTCCATATAGTTCAGTTCTCTGTCTCCAGTGGTATTGACAAGTGGATGCCTAGTGACCCAGACACACGTAGCTTCTGCTTCAAGTTTCCAACTATTTTCTTTTCTGGGAATTTCCTGAGCTATTGACTGTTGTCTGTTAAGCTCTTTCCCTGTACCTGTGCATTTTCCCTTTGGATAGGCATATCTCTTGTGTTCTTATCCTTTGACAGGGAGTACCATAGGTCATCACATGTTGCTAGGATGTCATATTCTTTTGTTTGCTTTGAACCCAAGTCTTTTTTTTTTTGTCTTTTGGTGGTGTTTAGAATTTTATTTAATAATAGAATCATTTAGGACTGGAAACACCTCTAGTATCATTGAGTCGGACTATTAACCTAACACTGCCCAGTCCACAACTGAACAATGCCATTAAGTGTAACTTCTACATGTGAGTCGCCAGAGACACAGCCACTTCTTTGGGCAGCCTGTTCCACTGCTTGACAGCCCTTTTAGTGAAGAAATGTTCCCTAAAATATATTCTAAACCTCCCCTGGTGCAACTTGAAGCCATTTCTTCATTTTCCTATCACTTGTTACTTGGGAGAAAAGACCAACCCCGAGCTGGCTACAGCCCCTTTTGAGTAGTTGTAGAAGAGAGTGTAGGGTTGGTCTCTACCAGCTCATGATTATCTATTCCTTTATCATAGAGATTCCACACATACCATACTCAATCATTGTTCATTACAGCATTTTGATCATCTCTGTTACCCTTCTCTGAGCTTTTCCCCCTTTTAAAATGCTCTTTTTTCCAGGAGGCAAGTAGAACTGCACAGAGATTTTAAGTTTCAGGCAAGCCATGAATTTATATGATATCATTATCATTATCATTCTAATTACCCTGATATCATTATCAGGCTGTTTTCTGGTTTGTTCTCTAATCCTTTTCTAATAATTTCAAAGTTTTTATTACGTTGGTTTTGGCTGCTGCCAAGCAGTTAGATAACTATCTAACATATACTGCTTTAAATTAATTTTCATTGGTGTAGTTCATCTGCCATTTTATTGCCTTGTCTTGTATTTCCTTATTTCCTTCTGCCATCCTTCATAGTCTATCCTCATCCTAACCACCTTGAATACCTTCAGATCATCACAAAACTTTATCACTGGACTGCTCAACCACTTTTCTGGTGACTTTGACCATTTACTACAAATGTCTGTTTGTTCTCCTTTGGTTAATTATCTGTGCTAGACCTTCCCTCACTCCTAATTGCTTGAGTGGAGGCATGGAAATAAGGTTTCATTTCTCTTATGCTCTGGAGAAATGGATGGTTAATAAATTAATTACTAAAATGAAAATAAAACACAAAAAAAATCCAATATCCACTCTTCCCCACCCCCCCCACCAAAAAAAAGACACCCCCAAAACCCCAGGATTTTATAGTCTTTGCAGAGGGAAAATCTCCTGTAGTACTGAACAATTTTCATGGTAGTGATCCCTGTATGTCAGTGTGTCCATGACAGATGAAATTTATGCTGCACACATACCAGCTCAGTTCCAAGCTATAAAAATCAGAGCTTTATGAGAACGACACTGGAGTCCTAAGTAGCCTCTTCCTCCTGCTGTAGAAGCTGTCTTCAAATTGCTTTTTTTTTTCAGGATTATGTCAGATAAGGGTAAGATAGAATTTCAAGGACTGGGCTGATGTGTGCAAAAATCACACATTTGTGTGGACCAAAAAGAACATTTTTAACATCTAATATCTGTTATAGCAGATCTGTAGGTTGGTAGATTAGTTCAAAGCAAAATCCAAACTTTCATTCTGTGTGCTAGGAAGTGTAATCTGAGCTCCCTGTATGTCATGAGGTCAAAGTCTAGTCACTTGGGCTTTGAGCAGGTGATTTGACTATCAACCTCAGTAAAATAAAGGTCAGTCGGTGTTTCAAGTACCAAGTAATTTTTCCAAGATTGTAGAGATGGAATCCAAATTTTCATGTATTGCTCTGAGGTTGGAATGCAGATGTGTTTAAAGAGTTAACACTGTGGCTCAATCAGAAAGAATGCTTGGCAATAAGAGGAAGCCTGGATTAATGATGGAAAAGAATTCTTAGCATTTTATAGCAGTGGGTATTCGAGATGAGACACGGCTAATGATCAACTAAAAAGGTATTTGCAGCTGTGGTGCTACCTCTCCCCATAATGCCAACATTAATCAAGGTTTTTCATGCAGCTTTCCAGTCCATTCTATTTTTCATTGTCCTGAATAGAAAAACAGAGCTCATGCCCTATTACACTGAGTCAGAGACCATACTTCTGTGTCACCAAAAACGATCATACTTTATTGATTTCTAAAATCTGTACTTTCTGTGATATGAAAGAAATCCATAGCAAAGCCCATAACAAAGCCAGTTTCATTTTTAAAGAAAAAAAAGCCTCTTGCAACCCCAAACTATAAATACGTCTGGAATGTGAAGCAGTTATCGGCATGAATTAACTGCTCATATATTTTATTTAAGTCTTGAATTACATCAAAACAGCAGCTATAATTACAGCATCTCTAAGTCTAGTTTTGGAGTCAGCCATCTTGTTGAAAGCCCTTGGCAGTGTGAAAAGCCAGTGAAATTGTGTAAGTCAATGTCCTGGCTGTTCTGATTCTGCCTTCGGAGTCAGAAGAAAAGCTTCATTATAGTAAAAAATGAAACATTTGTCATACAAGTTATTTGCAGAATGGCTTCAATCTTTTTAAATAATGAGCCCCATTGAATCCTAACTTCTCAGCAAATGTTGATTATCTAAATTCCTTAAGTAAACTACACGTGATACAGCTTTTGAAACATGAACATGATCTTCCCTCATGTAAACAATCCTCTGCCTTTGTTGCCTGATGCTATCACATTTGGGTGCACATCCTTCTGCATTGCAGGCCCAAGCCTATAAAATGTTGCTATCAAATATCCACCCCGATCTGCAGATGCTTTATGCCTCTGCTTAACAGCCATGACTCATCCCGTTAAAGTCAACAAAGTTACAGTAGTAAAGTTAGGCGTGTGTTTGCAGGAATGGGCCCAGATTCTCAGAAGAATTTAGGTAACTCAAGATGCACAGAGATGAGTAGTGAGGGAATTTCATACTGGTGTGACTAATCTCCCTAAGATCTCCTGAAATTGAGAGAGAGAGAGATGGAAGGTTTTAGCAAAGGGGCTTCAGGATGACTAAATTAGGCTTCTGTTTTGGAGCATCTCCTAAAGGAGCCTCCACCGTTCCCTGTAATTTTAAGAAGTGCTTTGAATGCTCAGTCCTGGTCACCCGGCTCACACAGAAATCAACAGGAGCCAGAGCTGAGGGTGCCCAGCCAAGCCTTGCAAGGAGCCTGTCAGAGCAGTAGCCTGGCAGCTATTTCCATCTGGGCAGCTCTGGCTGCTGAGCTCTGGGCACTCGTGGCTCTGAGTGGTGCCCACAGCGTGACCTGCAGTGCCTGACATAGCTTTGCAATCTCAATGCCCCACGTGCAGCAAGAGCAGAGGCTGTTGACACAGGGTAAAGTTTGCTTTTCAAACTCAAGGACCAAAGTGGGAATAGCAGGAAATGGTTTTGACTTCTAAAGACCTGGAGTTTTAAGATTCTTTTAAATAGACATTGTAGATAAAATTCTTCATTCTTAAATGTATAGGACTGACTAAATGGTAAGTCTCTTCATTTTCTATGGTGACGTATAAATACCTGAAATTGAAGGAATAGGAAGCATGCAGTGACTCCTGCATATTTTAATAAATATGGTGTATTTTGAGGATCCTCCAACAGCCATGATTTTGCTGTATTAAATAAAGTAGATTTTTTAGCACTTTAATCAGATTATGATGGAACATTATGCAAAATATTATGCAATGTAATGCAAAGTAATTAATGCAAGCAGAGAACATGAGACAGCTGAGCAGCATGCATTTGGGTTACAAACTGCCTGCTGATTTTCAAAATTTCTTTCTTTCTCAGATAGTGGTTTCCCGTTCAGAATCCACAACTCCACATGTCAGCTTTCAGCTGGACTCCCACCCCATCTCTCCCCAGGTTGTTGTCGAGAATTCATTAGCAGATGATGGCTATACCCTGGTAGTGACTGGGAAAAAGGTGAGTGGTCCATAATCTAATCCTCCTGTGCTCTGTGTAAACCTCTGTTCACACTGCTGCTTTCTGCACAGCATCCTCATGGCCCTGCCATTCCCTCAGAACACTGGGGATTGTAAGTTTCCTCCAAGATATATTTATTCCCCTGCTAAACAAACTGGCAGCCTCATATTGAGAAATGCTTAAATAATGTAAGAGCTCGTGATGTAAACCAACAAAAGCCAGGAAATGCGAATTTTAAGGCTGAAAACCTGTCCCTAATTCAAGTGCTTGCAAAGACAAAACACACAATGGCTCAAGAAAAGAATAGTGTTCAGTTTCCTGGCTTTTCTTAGTTTGTGTGTCATAGCATTGTGACTTTTTAAGGACGGTTGTGTGTGCTAGAGTTACATACATGTCTTTAAAACTGTAAGTCAGTAAGGCTTGAAAATTACTTTAGCATGTAGTCTACAAAGAGTTAATAAAAGATGAAGAGCCATCATAAATATGCTATTGTCATAAGTAGATATGCATTGAAGAACAGGTTTAGAACATCAGCAGATAATATTACGGATAATCCTAAACCATAATCGTAAGCAATAATTTGACCCCTTGAGTTCTATAAGGCCTTACAGAAATACATCAGCCATAAAGATTGTTATTAATCATTTACTAGAAATGTATGAGTTATTTATAAGAGTGATCTTCAGAAAATGTACAAAATAAATTTAAGGAAGGTCCTGAAGTATAAAGAAATATAAGGCACTTATATAGTAATTTAATTATATATTGATTTTAATATTTTGACCAAAAATAATTCTTACATGTTTAGAGTGACTATTTCGTAACTATCCTGATATTTTAAGTAATATAAATTTTAAGTTGTATTTTAGGTAAAGTATGGATTTTTTTATGATAGGTGTTAAAAAACAAGTACATGGGCAGTCACATGCTGTACGTGTGCCACAGATATTAATACAGCCTCACCAAAGTTGAAATAGCCATCATGCCTATTTTTACAAATGTATAAAGTAAGGCATACTGAGATACATTGCATAAACTAAGGCAAACTGAGATACTGGGAGGAGCACGCTGCTGCTTTCTTTCTCCATCAGCAAAAAATGCTATCTTGCTGTAAACACCAGATGCTGGTAGTAACTGTATATAACATTAAGATGCCTTTAGGGTTTCTCCCAAGCGAATTTAAAATCATGTCACTTAAATTACTTATAAGATCCTAATTACTGAGCTAAAGAGAAGTCGAACTGTGGCTTGCACATCTGAAATCTGAGTAGCACCAGCATGCTATGCATAAATAGAGATTCTCCTTGCCACTTAGTGCATGTATTAAAAGGATGTATGCATCATGTCTCTCCATCGACAGATAACAAAGATCCCTCTGAAGGGGCCAGGCTGCCATCACTTCAGGTCCTGCAGCCAATGCCTGCTGGCACCAGCCTTCATGGAGTGTGGCTGGTGCAGCCAGCAGTGCCTCAGGTCTTCCGAGTGCCCCAGCAACACTTGGACCCAGGACACCTGCTTGCCTAGGGTTTATGAGGTAAAGTGGTGGATTTCTTGCATTTATCTCTTGAGGGAAGAACAGTCTGCACTCTGTAGACATTTTCTATTCATGTAATCATGATAAGTCATCAGCTTTCCTCAACTTCCCCTCAGTCTTGATGTCCATGAATCCTCTGACTGGATGCACATGGTCTCCCTGAGTACTGTGGGCTGAGATGCTCATGGATGGACAGGTTTGTCTGATCATCCTTACCAGGATGCGAGATCCCTGGCCCTTCAAAGCACTTCTGATGGGGAAACAAGATGGGTCTGAGCCAGCCTGGCAGGGGTCTGACAGGAAAGCCAGTCACAGAAAGGAGCATCCCTTCTCTTAGGCTTCTCTCAGAGACAAAAGTGGAGGAAAGCACTTCCTGCCCAGAGCCACCACAGCCTGACCCAGCACAGGAGGTCCCTGGCTCCCACTCTTCATCCATCCCTATGCTGGCTCCAATGGTGGAGGAAAGCCTGGTGTTTCTTTGTGAGAAAAATCCCTTCTTTCCCCTACCCAAGCTCCTGGGGAAGTTGTTTTTCCATAATGTCCCTTCCTGGCTCCTTTTTTCTGTGGGTCCACTTGGCACCAACAAGGAACAAGCCTGTAGCTGCACCCCCAGGACAGGGGCAGCCAGAGGCTGCTGCCAGCCAGCCAGAGCTCATCAAGGGTGTGTGAGAACAAGAAGGCACAGATGAGCAGGGAGCTGCACTGGTACAGTCCAGCTTTAATTCAGCTATGCTTAATGCAGGATTTGTACTGTATGTATGTGGGACCAAATCTTCCCGTGTGAAGTATGGCATGACTGTGAAGGCAGAGGTTTGCAGGGCAGTTGATGGACTAGAAATCTAAGGGAAGGACAAGCATAAAATGTTCTGATAGCATTTACTGACACATTCACTTATGTTAGTGCATTTAAACTACATCATCTAGTTAAAAATACATTTTCCTTTATTAGAATACAACTTACAAACAGACATGAAAGTTTGATATGCCAAACTCTTAGAAAGGGAGAAAAAAGTGGGTTTTAAATAAATAATGTATATCTTTCATCCAGGCATATGATTTCATGTACAACAATATTTTTAAGTTTTAATGTTTTAGACAAAACTGCTATTAATCTAGAAAGAAGTATAGAAACACATGTTTACAGGGTTGGGTTTTTCCATGTTCACCTTTCAGACATGAAATTTATGATTAACACAGCTAAATTCAGTGAAAAAACAATGAAGAGTTATAGGAATCAAACCCAAAATGGATGGAAAACGGAAGGGGGAGGGGTGGTTTGCCTGCCTTCTATGGCCATTTGCTTAGGGCAAAGAAGATGCACAAAACTTGCTAATGCAGAATGTGAACAGTTTACTTTTCCTTTATACAAACCCACATTTGTTTCGAAATGCTTATATTAGATAGTGAAATAATCCTTTACAGCCTTAGTCTGTATGAGATTGAGTCACCAATTCAAAGGTATGCAGTGAGAATTAGCTCTTATATATTTTTCTTTACCTCTGCAGGCCCAAGGTGCTCACCTATTCTGCACAGTTTGTTTTGTCTTTTCTAGAGCTCAAGCACCCTTAATGTTTTTTAATTTGCAGACTTTCCAGAACTGGCTGTATATTTCCATAGATCAAAAAATATTTCTCAGGCTGTGAACTGCTTAGTTTCTGATTTTCAGAGGGGCTGAACTCATGTAGCCCTCTTTAATTTCAATTTTGAATGTGTTCACTCAGCAGTTTTAAGAACCAAGAGACTGCAGCCCTTGTGAAGTGCTGGGAGGGGAGCACATCTTGGATGTGGGGCAGTGGGAGCAGTTGTGAGCCTGGGTAGGTGCTTCCATTCCCCATGTGGCTCAGCCCAGCCTGCTCAGCACAAGCCCAGTCTACCCCTGTAATGAATATGGAGCTGTGACACTGATGGATCTGAAAGTGAATCTCGAATTACTGCGTGCCGATATTGGTAGATGTTGCTTCCAGAAGGCTTGTAAGGAAAAAAAATGCAGCTGGATACTTCAATCCATTGGATTACTAGCTGTTAAGACAAATTTCATGCTCTACTGGGCCATGACATTTAACATGATTGCTGAAAAAAATATAAAACAGATTGTTCATCATCTTCTGATCTGTCTTGAAACTCACATGCATAAAATGTAGAAACAAGCTAGTTTTGTTCCTAACAAACGGAGGATGACCTGCTTTGCATAGTATCTGAAATTCAGTCCAAACCTCTCCCTAATATTTTGCAGCTTTCAGAGGGACAGATTGCTTGAGATATGTCATATGATCACTTTAACCTGAGGGGAGCAGATTGCTCCCTGAGGGTCTGCTCCAGTGGATGTTAGCTAACTAAGTCTTCAGTGATGTTTTCCCAGGTTATTACACAGAATGGTGTACAATGGGAAAAAAAATTAATTTTTCCTCTCAGGAGGGATGGCAGAGAAGAAGCCCAGTGTTTTCCCATGGAGTCCTGCAGATCCTTTATCTCTTTCCCCTCCTTTAAGCACTCTCCCTTGGAGCTGTGGGTTGGAAAGGAACAGTCAAGTCTGCCCAGACATAGACAGCATAGTAGGGCAGGCGCTAAGACACATCCCCTGCACAGCCCAGCTCCCAGTCTGCTCCCATCCCCTGCCTCTGCCAGCAATGAGGATTTTCATCAGCCTGGATGAGCCGATGAGAGTTCTAGAGGGAAGCCAGGAGGGAGTCTCCTCGGAGATCACTTGGTGCTGGAACAAATTGCAGGCATCTGCGCGTGGCGTTCAGGTCACGCTGAAAGGTGAAGGGTGTAAAAGAAGAAATAAATTGGTCTCCCTTCTGATTCTTTGTTGTGGTTAAAAATCTGACATGGTTTGTTGTTGTTTTTAAAGTGAGTCATTTTAGCTGGCTTTTGTATCAGACATATCAAGAACATCAGGCCTTCTGCTGCCTGTTTAGGTTGGAGGCTTTGCTGGAAATTTCACATGTGGTTGTACACATGTGTTCTTGTCTTTGAATTAAAATGAATGTGCTAATGAAACTTTAATAAATAGGTGTTTTCTTCCAAAAATATATTAAGTGGATATTAGCTGTGAACATAAATAAAAGGAAAACACAATGCTTTAAAGTTTTCCAAAAACAAAAAGTTAACTTTCTCCCTTAACCAAAAGTTCAGGGAGCAGCAGAATGACAGGACTTGCTCCATGTTATCAGTGGAGATAACATAATATTTTTTGAATCCTGGATTTCATAGCATTTATAACGGTTTTGATTGTTTTCTGTTACTACCAATGCAATGTAAGTACATTGCATTGGTAGTAACAGAAAGAGGCCTACAAATACCTCAGTTCAAAGACCAGGAGATTCATTGTCCATTCTTGTCAACACTCCCAAGAAAAAGTCTGAAAAACTACATTTGATTTTCAGACATTTCAGCATACAGAAAAAAGGGAACAAATATAAATTTTGAATAAAAACAAGGGAGTTTGGCAGAACTTAAAAACAAAACTTTAGGATTTTGTTTATTTATTTTTTGCTATCTACTTAGAGGTGTTGCCTCCTAAACTTGTTGACAAAATGTACTAAATACTTGCTACCCCTCAAGGCACACAGGTTGCTATCACAAGTCTCTTTTGCTATGTAAGATCACTAAAAACGTGTTCAGTACCTTCAGTTTTTATTCTGTATGGCTTTGTGAAGCCCTTATTTTGCTAACCTGTGGATTACATTTCAAACTCTTCAAATGCCACATATCAATGTATTGTACAAAACATCGGGATATCCTGTATTCCCACAGAGCAATTTCATTTTCTGCTAGGGTTTTGTTATTTCAAAAATAGATAATGTGCTGAGATACTGAGCAGAGTGGAAAACTAGAATCTGAAGTCAAATCCAGATTTTGAAGAAGAAAACTCCAAAGAAACAAGGAAAAGTTAAACCTGTGAATAGCACAGATTTCATGGGCACAGAATGGCTCCGAGCTCATAGCTGCAATTGTGTGTCAGGGACTGTGTGAGTATCACTCCTTTTTTAAAGGATTTCTATAAAAGTGCTGGTCCTGCATAGGTTCTCTCTTTGCTCCTTGAGAGCTGATTCAAAGCTCTTTAAAACAGAAAAGGTTCCTCCTGGCTTCAGTGCATTTTAAGTCAGACTCTTTGTCTGGTTTCTAATGAGGGCAGTAAATTTCCCCATATATAGTATATGGTATAATTCTTTTGAAGTATTCTTCAGCTGCCTTTCTATCTACAATAGTTCATTTGTGAGAGTCTTGAAGTATAGCTACAAGAGAGTTGAAAAGAAATGTGCTGTCTTACTGGATTTCCAGATGAAATAATAGCCAAGTATCACTCAAACACTTTCCTTTCAGCTTGAAAATTAAGCCGGGTCCTTTGAAGGACACAGCTGTATTGCATTTTAGGGGCAAAATTATTATCACTAAAGCATTAAGATACTTAGGCACTATAATCACAAGTATAAATTCAGTCTCTCATTCCTCTCATTCTTTTTTGTTTGTCTGGTGGTACTGGTATGTTTGCAAAATTGTGCAGTATTGCTGAAAGTCCTCATAATTCCTGAACTAATGTCTTTTCTTTTTGGTTGGTTTTTGGTGGGTTTTGGGGTTTTTTTACTGACAGTACTAACCGGTACTTTTACTGAGTTTGTAAGACTTCTTTAGTGTTCCTACGTTTTTCCCACCATTGTTATATTTTACAGGACAATTTACAATACACACACACACACACACACAAAAAAAAAAAAAAATGTATTTCCTTTGTAGATTGTCTCTGTGTTTCTGAGGGGCAGTTTATTTTTAACTTGGAATTAGAGGTGACCAAATGTAAAATGTTTAAGGAAAGAATAGCAGAAGTCATGTTAACTTTATCACAGTCAACGCAATATTGGATTATGGTGTCTTTGAAGCTACTTCACTCTGAACCCAACTTCCATCAAGCTGGCAAAAAACGGTCATTTGGGGGCCCTTTTGTGTTCAGCATTCAGCTTCTAACAAAATAAGTATATTGTATGTTTAACACACCAGAAATAAGATGTGAAAGACAAGAACTGCAGGATTTAAAAGACTATTACAATGCACAGCTTGTTCAGTGCCCCTAAACACTATCTTTCAAAGCCTTCTAGTATAGGTTTTGTTATTTATTGCTACTGTCATAGAAAGCTCATAATGTGACAAATGAAAGGTGAAGAACAATTAAGATGAATGCTAGGACATAGTCTACTGAAAGAAATGCTTTTCTAAAATTATTCCTTTGCCCATTCTTTAGCTCCAAGTGAAGTTCAAGAAAATCTGATTCAACTAACACAATATTTTTTTAACAGATTCTCCCAAGCAGCGCTCCCATAGAAGGTGGGACAAAATTGACACTGTGTGGATGGGACTTTGGATTCAGCAAAAATAATAGATTTGAATTAAAAAATACAGTAGTTCATATTGGAGGACAAATTTGTCCTCTGGAAATGAAATCTAGCAACAAAAATAGGTAAGAAACCTAAAATATTAATTTTCATTTATACAGATGTTCTTTATGTGGTATGGAATTATTGCAAATACAAACATTCAGCCTATAAGTATCATCTCTGATTCTGAAATTTCAAATTTGAAGAAATCCTGTGGTTTAATAAACTCATCAAGAAAAACGATGCTCAAAATGGAGACGAAATAAAACTAGTTTATGCCAATAGCTCCTGCAGCAGGTTTTCTGATTTGTCTGAGAAATGCTATTCAACATCTGTGAAAGCTGGCAAGAATGAATCTATTCAAAGGTTTGAAAAGGGGGCAGTTCCTTTGGCTGGGATCCTGCTGGGTTAAGTTGTGTCACCTCTGTCTTCCTGATCTGTAAAGCTGCTGCTCGAGAGAAGTGTGAGAAGATGCAGTTATTTCGTCATCCAGAGGCTTATGACCCCTAACTGCACCTCTCCTCCTCAGAAATAAGTATCTGAGGCACAGGGATAATGGGTTAACTTTAAGACAGAGGTTACTGTGATTGTTATCTTGCAGAAATGCAAGTTCAGTGAATATCCTCTCTCTACCACCAAAGCAAAGCACAAATCATGGCACAGCTTTGCTGTTCACATACACAGCAGTGCAGATACTCCAGCAAGTGCTCCAGAAGTGTTGAGCACTCTCCTAACTGCTGTTCTGGACAGTTTCAATGGAAACAAGATGATTTAAGGAGACTAGATTATATATGAGACTATGTTAATGTAATATAATACATTGACATATGCTGCTGCAGAAGTTCAAGTTTAAGTTTTGGTAATATTTACTTTTTTATAACAAGCTCATGTATATGATTCATTTTTTCTAATGCTATTGTCTGCCAAAATTTGATATTTAAAGGAAAATTTTTACAAATCCATCAGCCATTGAATAGAGATATTTGTTTTTTCCATCATGCCTCTTTTTTCTAAAATATATATGATATACTAAAATTATTTTCTGTGGCCAAGTATTATAAAGTCCACAGCATTTGTATTTATTATTAAGGATGAGGGCTACAGTTCTTTTAGCTATTATTTCTGAAATGTCTGTGGTGCACATAGATTGATGATCTGTTTAGTATGGATTCCCCATTATTATGAGTTTGAAGTAGTTCTATATTAATATGAAAAAATCAATCAGAAAAAAAATGTAATCCCATTTTTTTCCTTGTTTTCTAAAGGCTGGAATGCACAGTTCCTGCTGCAAAAAGTCCAGGTTTTAATATATCCAGTAGTGTTTCTGTTGGACATGGCAAAACACTATTCAATACATTTTCATACGTGGTAAGCACTAGATTAAACTTTTATAGTCAAAATTAGCTTCAATATTAACTGTTAGTGACTCCTCGTGAGTCCAATCCAGCATAGTAAATTCTGTATCCATGTTGGCTTTATTGTTACTTCATGGTAATGTTAACAAATGTTTTAAGTCCTCTCAATATTTTGAAAATATGTTCATAATCCACTGGTTTTATTTTTACCTCCCCTTAGAATCCTGTAATAACAAGTATATCTCCCACCTATGGCCCCAAATCTGGAGGAACATTGCTGACTGTAGCTGGAAAATACCTAGACAGTGGGAAATCCATGAGGATTTTTGTTGGTGAGCAACCATGCACTTTGAAAAGGTAATGTACTAACTAAAACACAATGCCTTTAATACTGAAATGTCTTGATTAAAAGCCTTGGAGTTAAAAAACCAAACTCAAACATTTGCTTTCCTCTTCTTGTGTCACTTATTGGGGAATTTATAATAAGCAGTAAGTATCCTGAGTTTAGGATACTTGAAAGATTTCTAAAAGGGGCTACAGTTCTCTGGAAGTCTTGTTTATTCTCTAGTGTCTTCATTAACCTCATTGAAAGGTTGCATAGAGAAGTGTCAAATCAGCTTCTAATGGACAAGAAACTGCTTATTTCCCATCATTTTTGTCACCCTGATTCCCACACACTCAGCCCTCTCTCTTGTATTAGCAAGAGCTGCTGTTCATGCAGCAGCTGCCAGTGAGCAGCCAGTGGGCACAAGTTACCATTTCCTACTGCCTGCCTGGGTGGAAACCTGGCCAGGGTGACAGTGTCCATCCCATGCAGAGGAGCACTATTTCTGCACTGCTATCAGAGAACAGCCTACAAAACAGAGGCAGCATCAGTTTGGCAGCATCATACTTCTCCTGGTATTTAGAAAATTGTTTTGGAGGTTTAAGCCAGAATTTCTTGTGGCTCTGTACTGGATCCAGCAGGAGCTCAGTGACAAATCTGTGATGTGTTTGATCACCAAACACAGATTCTCCACTATGGGTAGACGAGTTCTGAATTTGGTAGCCATTCTACCATGGCATAAATCCAACTTGGTTCTCTGCTTAGGAACAGCAGGGTGATTCCAGAACTGTCACTTCTGTGGACAAGGCAAAATCTGGCCTATTGTGTTCCTGAAACAGGACATCCAGCAATTCCTCTGAAATTTGAGCATCATCTGATGATTATGGAAAATCATAGTGGTTAAACTTCACACTTGTGGAGACCACGGGGAAGCAGTAGCCTATAAGTTAACACAAGACTCAGAGTCAGGAGAGATTAAATTTATTCTTTACTGCTAAATAATTTATTGTATGTTCTTGATCAAATCAGCCAAGTCTGACTAAATCAAGAAAGAGGATTTAGATATTCGAGTGTGATCACTGAAAAGATCTTCATGATTTTTCCGTTCCTTAACAGTTAGGGTTGCATTTCTTGGTGTCTTTGTCAGCTAATGGAGAAATGAATAAACCTTTTGGGAATGATTCATTTGAGACATCTACTATGGGGGTGGGACAGCAGCCAGCTCAGATGCAGGTGTTGGTCAGGTCGACCTCTAGGTACTGAACAATAGCTGAGACTTTCCCAGTAAGTATCTCCAGGGCCCCTCTTTCTCACTAGCCGAGTTGTCTGGAGATTTCTGTGTAAATCTTAACCAATTTCTCAAGGCAGGTGTTTCTCTAGCTAAAAAGGCAGCTTTCTCCAGTTCTGAGGGCAGCTAGAGCAAGGTTTACTTGTTTCCTTTAAGAGATGTTAAAAACCTTCCAGATACAGATGAATTAATTGCTATCCATTATGGTTAACCCCACCTTCCTGGAAAGCTTCAGAGGTTGTAGCAAATGTCCCTTTTGTCTAATTTGGAGACCATCTCTTACATTCTATGAGAAGAACCTCACTTGGCCCATGGATGTGCTTGGGGCCAAATCCCTGAAACCAGCTGGTAGAGTTACATTTACTTCCCAGTCAGTTGCCACCCTTGTCTTTGATGTGCCCTGCTCCCTCTGGCCACATTTCATGTGCTTCAAACTTCAGGATCCTCCTGCTGTCCACTCACCCACTGAGCTTAGTGTAGGAGGAAGAGGACTTCCATGGCCAGGCATGATAGCAAGGGAAAGGTGAATATCTCAGAGACTCCACTGAATTCAGCCAGCTCTTCTTGAATTTTGTCCTTCTTTCTCATTGTCCTCGACCTGCCTCTCAGCATCTGGTACATCCCACATGAGCATCCTTACTTGAGGCTTTTAACACAGCATAAGTCCTGTGGATTTGAAAGAGGCATTATTTGGTTACAGCAGATCAAGTCATTCTCCTTAAACCTGAAGTGTGCTCTTGTTTTCCAAGCTGGAAGCTGCCTTTGCAGGGTTCAGGGGCTCATGGGGTTGTCACCAGTACCGGGACAACACCTTCCATCAGAAAGGTGCAAGTCAACTGAATTAAGATTAATCTTGATCTTAAGCCATGCTGTTGCAATTTCTACCTTATGTCATGCTTACTTGTTGCAATCTGATTATCCAGCAGGAAAATCAATGACTTTTTTACAAACAGATCCTTAGGCAAGGCTGGGGCTCAGTAAAGGACAGTGTTTTAAGCCAAGTACATGTTTTATAATGGTGACAAGCAATCTGTTTTCAGTCCTCCCAGCATATCGGCGAGCACTGTGGAGTGCTACACTCCAGCACAGCAAATTCCCCAGGAATATCGTGTGAGAATGGAAATCGATGAAGCTATTCGAGACACAAGCAGCCATTTCACATACAGAGAAGACCCAGTTGTTTTAAAAATTCATCCAGCCAAATCTTTTCTTAGGTGAGTGAAATTTTCTTATATAAATAATAAAAGCAGCAAATGAATGAAGAATGGCTATGCTGCTCAGCAATCTATCAGAAGAAATTGCATTTTTATCGCTATCTTCCGTGCCAATTGTTTCTATTATGGTGCAGTTGCAGAGGGCAAATCATTTCCTTTCAGAGGTGAAGGAGAAGGGGGAAGGGTGCTTCTTTTCTCTTTGTGATTTCACTCCTAGCTGCTGCTGAGCCTACCTGTGATGTCCCACTGAGATACCCACTGCACTGCTAAGTGTGTCTCCTATGCTGTGTCTGGACATTACACTGATTGCTGAGGAAAATCATTTAATGTGGCAAGTCAGCGGACTCAGGAGAACAAATGGGTTTTAAAATAGTCTAAATCCAGTGCTATATAAACATTATGAATATATATGTATGCTAGTATGTGTGTGTTTTCAAGTGACATATTTATAGTCCCAGTAGCTCTAATCCAAGCCATCTGCCTTTGCCAAAAAAATGTCAGCAGTAAAAGAGGCACCTTTTTCAGCACCACTGAACACAATAGGTGAAATAAGTAAGTTAGCAAATGCAAAGTACAAAAAAAGAGACCTCTTTTAAAATTTACGCATTTGTTTTATACGCTGGCTTATCACAGTTTTAAAAATTATTTTTCTTTTCTCTTTTTGATTAGTTGTTATAGCAAATGTAAAATCTGTTTCCCAGAAAAATTATCTCACTGCTCAAAGCTATGTATTTGCATTTATCCAATACATGTCCCTAATTATGGTTTTATGTTATCATTTACTCTAAAATATAATTTGTAATTAACATTACATTATCACAGCAGTCATTTATTCTACTTATCTTCTCTTTTTCTTTTCCTTCCTTTTTTTTTTTCTTCTTTTGCTAAATTTTCCTAGTGGTGGAAGTACAATCACAGCTCAGGGAATCAACTTGAACTCAGTGTGCTTTCCTCAGATGGTGATTACTGTACCTAAACTAGGAATGAACTTCTCTGTGGTGAGTCAATCTTAGAGAACACAATCTGTTATCTTTTCATCTTGGTGTAGTGAATGGTTGTGAATTTTCAGCCAAATACTTTGACTTTTGCCTTGAAACTTTGGGGCTTCTACTGATATTTTGATGTTTTCTGCAAAGGCTGTTTTCACTGTACAGGAAAAATTCAAAACAAATTTGAAATTAAGGTGAGGATAAAACAACTGTTTCCAATAAACCTTTTCCAAAGAAATAAGGCTAGTACAGTATCTGATAAGAAGATTTATATATTTCAATTTAACAATACAAATTGAATGACTAAACATGCAGCAGTGCAATATAGATGTATCAGATTACGCGACAAGTTCAGGCACTACTGTGATACTCAAGTGGTGACTGTGGGTACATATCAAAGGAAGAGGAGGAGTAAATATATAAAATCAAAATTAAGTATTATTTTTAAGAATTTCTGATTGCCAAAATCTCTTTTGCGGAAATCTGTCCTAACTTTGATAAGTTCATTAAGTTTTAAGATGGATTTGGGGTCTTGCAATTGGGTACCTCTGCTTAAACAGCAGGTGTCAATCAGAGATGTAAGTCTTCTTTTTTTTCTTTTTGTTCCTGAGTCAACACTACACAGTGTCCAAATCTAAGACTATGTCATCTGCTTTAATTCTTATAGGGCAAAAATGGCATTTGTCATCTAGTTTTACTGAAACTGCCTTCTGTAAGCTTTTGTCTACACATCTGTGTTGTACCTCCAACATTTTCTTATCCTGTAAGGTTTGTTTAGTTTGTTTGAAGCTAAATTGCTAAATTGACCTACACTCTTTATGACATGCTACTTACTGTTCATATTCTCAGCTTATTTCTAATGATCATCATACACTGTTTCCTGAATTGAATTCTAACTATTAGACCTAGGTTTGCTCAATGCATTTTAAATGGTATGTCTGCAAATTTGCAGTCTTTCATAGCTTCAAGGTCATCATATTCTTCATGATCCTAATTTGTATAATATTATGAGTGTCAGGACCTGAATTTCCGCAGCATGTAGTCGTGGCTTGTAATTTAATAGGTTCAGATTTTAATCTAAAAATCAGTTCCTTTCCAATGTAACACAGTGTTAAGTGTTATCAAAAAGTCACTTTACCCATCAGTCAGAAAATAAAATCTTTCAGTGAAATCTACCAAACTCAAAATTTATTAGATTTTGAGTAATGTGAGCATAATTATTTCTAAGCACAAAGGATTTTGAAGGAAAATATTGTTGCTGAAATCAAGTCTTGAGATTTTGCTTTGTGCAAAGATCATTTGTTTGCTTTTTCTATTCCCCTGTGGGAATATGCAATATTGTTTCTCTTCAGGCCCTGATACTGTACACCCTGTCAAATATTTAGGACTTCTTAGAATCTGAACAGATTTGAAAGATCTGAAGTTTTAAAGAAAATACACTGTCCAAAAGTGACTGGCAACTCCAGGCAATAAACACCATAGAATTTACTCTTTCCCCCAAATATTGGGGAGCAACCTTGAGCAGTGTTTTGCTTTCATTCTGCCTTTAAGTTGTTGTTGAAAAAAATCCTGGACTTAGTCAGAATTATCTCCTTTACTCTTTTTCTTTTCATACCATGCAGTGTGTTTGACATTTGGCAACAAACAAATCTCCTGCCACTGCTGATCTCGAAGGAATTGAGATTGCCCCAGTGTATGAGCAGGTGTACACAAGGTCATTCTCCCTGCACAAAACGTGGAATATAACCTCAAATGGATTATAATCCAAAGTGGTTTATACTTTGACATTGCCCAAGCACTGTATTTTTGCTCTATTGAAATTAAAGGCTTCTGTCACTCAGTTGCATTCTCTGCCTCAGTGGCAGCCATTTGTTCTGCCACTATCCTCTACCTCAAGCATATTTCTAAAGGAAGAGTATTAATTCTCAGGTAGAAAGGGAAGATTATAAGTGGTGTAACAAGATTGTACTGTGTAACTGAGGAAATTTCTGGTGGAGGATGCCTATGGCTGTAGTCTTACCCATCCTGCACAAGAAGTTCTGGGCTCTCTGCATGGGAGATATATCAAAAAACCCCAAGTTCATCCAGTCATTATTAAAATAAACAACAATGAGGAACTATTTCCAGCAGAGATCCAGACCAACTATGCCTTTTATAAAGGAGAAGACAGGTTGTTTTCCTGAGCAGACCAAAGAAGTGCTCAAGAAGTGCTATAGCTGAGGTAATGAGTCTTTTTGCTTCCTTAATTTGGGAGAGGATAGCTAAATGAATCATTTTTTAAATTGTTATTCAAGCCCTTTTTCTTTTCAGTTTTCTCTCACTAGCCTCCTCCAAGAAGCTGCTTTTGTCAGCATTCAGAAACTCTGGCTCTTGGGAAAACCAAAGCCAGCACTGAGACACATCCCAAAGCATCAAAGGAAAGTACAGCTGGGAGGGACACAGCAGCCAAGCATGGCCCACTCCCCTGTGCCAGGAGCAAATGTGCCCAGACCACTGCCTACCAGATACTTGTTTAGGCTGTTATTAAGCTCCTTGTGAAAGACATTTCACAATCTTGCTTAAACAAGCTTTAGAGAGAGCTGCTCTACCTGCTTACCTAGTGGTTTGGAAAGACTTCTTTCTAATAATTAACCCAAATCCTGTGGCTAATTACCTATCTTCTTGTTTAACCCTCTGTGGAGACAAGCAACAGATTATAGGTCCCTCCTGCTAATTTTATATATTTGCACTAAATTATGACTCAACCTTTCTCTTTTCCAGTCAAAACAACCAAACCACTCCAAACTCTCCTGATAAATGCTGTTTCCTAGAGCTCTTCTCATTCTTTCACCCACCTCTCAGACCCTAAAACTGGCAGTGCCCAATTTAAAATGGGTCTCACCTTTTTCTGTCAGCTCTCTATCCTCAGGTGTTTTGTGGCCTAGAGTCCTGATGGAGTCACAATGTAGGTGGAGGGTCATTTCTGTAAACAGCAGGAGCTGTTGGGGATGCTCTGCATCCCAAAGTCTCAGGGAGCAGAGCCAGCAGACATGCCCTGAGGCATTTGCTTTTCTCTGCCTCTTTCCATCCCAGTGGTAGAGGTGAGTGGTACAATTGATGCAAAAGTTTTTCTGGAAGAACTTCCTATAAGAAGAGCAGTTTCACTGAGACGGAAAAGTTTTGGGCACAGTATGCCAGCCCCCATAGAAGAAACATTTAAATTGAGCTTTTCAGCTTTCATGTTTGCAGTTTAGTATCTCTGAAAATTTTTCTTCTATAGAGCAAAAAATGCCTTGTTTCTATTTTACTGTATTTTTTCATATTTATTTAAATTTCCTTAAAATTGTTCAGTACTGTGTTCACACTTGTTGCGTTTATATTACATTTTATGTTAATACTGTCAAAATAATACATTTTGCCTTCTTTGAATTTATTTCAATGAGTGAAAAAATGTATTGAACCATATGTTTCAATAATTGCAATGTGGTTTTTTTTAATTTCTATTTCATGAGTTCTTTTGATCATTTGTTCCAACTAGGGAAAAAAATTGGAATTTAGGCAGTGTTGCATAAATTCCCAAAAGCTCTAGAGAATGCATAAGAATACGGAAACCTTCTCACTTCTGTTCACATATCCAGTTCCTGTGTGAGGTACACAAGCAGGGAAGCAGCTTGTTCCCTCCTTTCATTGTGCCTGTAAAAATACCCAAGGAATACAGTTTATACCCAAATACCCAAGGAATACAGTTTATACCCAATACCCAAATACACAGTTTGGAATAGTGTTTGATCAGGAACCTGTGCTGTAAGTCATGCTAGATGACTCTTCTGCTTCTGAAGCACTTGGGAGTAATATTTTTTTCTTTGAAAGCCTGTAGTTTGCCTTGGTTCCCCCAAAGTGAACAAGTGGTCATTTGGGGATCCTTTCTCATAGCATTTTTAATATGCCATCTATTAGCTAATTTCTATATATATTCCCTCTGCCTAATCTCTTCTAACAATGAATGTCCCAAGATATGCAAGGCTGCAAAACTAAGAAGAAGCATTTTTATTACATGACCTTCAACAACTGATTCTGTAGCTATGCAACATCTTCTCTTTCCACAGACTTTTAATTATCTCTTCAGTAAGTAGTCTTTTGATTGTTCTTCAGCATTTTTAAATTTTTCCCTGCCACATGCCATTTCCTGTTGTTTTACAGGACAATTTTAAAATAGTCTAAAGTTCATTCAATGTTTACAAGTCTGTAAGCAATCCGTACTCATATTCATCAAGATGCCTAGAATTCAGCAGTGAGTGTCTACTTTAGATGTATTAAATCATGATCAAACAAATTCCCTGTTAAGTGTGGGCAGTGAGTGTGTGATTACTGAAAATATTCATGATTCCCTATCCAAAGACTCCCAGGCTTGGATCCTCTATCTCTCTTGACTCCAGGGCACAAAGCTGCCACAGAATCCCAGTGAAGTTTTCCCCCACAAAGGGGAAAATTCATCTTTCTTTCTGTGCCAAATCTGTAGCTCACACACATCTCCTGCCAAGAAGAAGGTATAGCAGGGGATGTCAGGGGAAAGCCACTGTGTGAAATCAGGAGGGTACCAGGGATGCAGTGCTACAAGGTACATTGACCACCCCAGGCCCAGGGAGGAATTTGGACTCCCAGTTAGTATTGACCATGTTGTGCAAAAGGCTGGCTCCCAGACCCAAGAGCAAGAGACATTTTACTCTACCTTCTGCTCTCATGATCTGATAGACTAGAAGCATCATCTCTCATGCCTTCATCCAAGAAGAAAACTAAAATAAAAAGGCTATCAATCCATCAGGATCATTCATTGTACCACCCAAAATGGCAGCAAAAGGCAACGAATTAGCTGAAAAACCCTCAGGATATGCTCTACACAGAAAAGTCTTCTGAATGGGCTTCTCTTCATGTTGGATCTGTATTTTCTTCTCTTTCTATTGAGAAATCATCCTTTGGCAAGGATGGTTGGAGAGTCTCCAGGTCCGTCTTTAACTTCATTCATCTTTCATTCTTCACTGGAACTCCAAAAGTTTACTTTTTATGAAGGAACAAATTGGCCCTTTTCTCCTTTCTGACAGCTGCAGATCCTGTAATACACACCCAACTGCCCCTCTCTAATCTGGGTCAGCTGCTGGGAGACCTCTGGAGCTCAGAGATCCTCCCTCATACTTTTCCTGTTGTTCTATCAGATGAAAAAGAATTGAATTGGGCACTGAAGTTCAGGTTCTGTAGGTCAGGTTTGAATTAATTGCCTCAAGGGTCATATTTTACAAATGGAACAAGAATACATACCTTAAGTGATGAGTCATATGCATTGTGCAATGGATTATTATTCCCTTTGGGGTATAGCATTTACTTATGCTTGTGAAATGCTCCATAATTTTTATAGTTTTTCTTCCTCTTTGTCTTCAGATGTAGATTATTGTCACAAGAAAAATGTAGGCTTAGCTTTTAAAGTGAATCTACTTTAAAGTTTAATTAAATAAAAGTTAAAGGTGCTGGATGATAGGCAGTATCTTAATTGAGAAGGCAATAGATTGAATTAGGGGGGTTTTCTTGGAGATCCTCAATCCAATATTTCTTGAAAACTAAACCATCATATTCTTCAATTGCTAAAACCAATTTCAAGGTAAAAATGTCATGTCAAATCATGTACCAATAAGGGCATTGCAAATAAGATTTTTCTTGACCTTACCAATCAGTCACATTGCATCCCCTCCAAAGAGTATTATTAGATTTTTATCATTTTCTGAAAGCTTCTGCTTCACAGACCAGCCTGATAAAGTAAAGTATCTGATTCTAATAGATAGCCACAAACAAAGTTATGAATACCACTGCTATTCATTTAATGGACATCACTAGTCTACAGTAGATAAAGAGTCTAATGAATTTACGTTAATCAAATAAATATAATGATTACTTGGGACATACTTGGGTGCATAATTATATATATTTTAGTAATTAAGAATTGACACAATATGATAGATAACAAATATTCCTACATCATGGAAAAGTATGGCTTGATCATCCATTATACTAATGATGCATCTTATTATTTCCATACTAATTGAAATTCATTTCTAGATCTATGTGATAGAACAAAGCCTGAGATATGGTCAGTGTTGTATAACAAGGTATTCTAAAGAACAATCTGATACTATAAGCAAATGGAGCAAAAATTTGCCTTGTCTTGTGTCCCACAGTTTACCTTGTTGACATGGGGGTTACAAAAATATTTCTGAATTTCTGCTAGGAATATAAATGGGATGTTAGATACACAGGTGCAAGTGCCATTAGCATCACAGAGAGCTCCACCAAGTTATTTAACTGAGTGTCAAACTCACAGCTCACAGGCACGTAGGAGCTCTAAAACTAATGCTCAGAATGTTGAAAATGTTTCCCTTGGCGGATTCAAGATTTCACAATATTATTCACAGAAACATGAATTGCTGTGGTGATAACAAAAACCCCTGATTTGCAGCTGGTTTGCAGCTAATTTAAACCCGCTTTTCCAGCTAAAGTGGGTATATAGCTGATACAGCCTGAGTGATTTGAAACAGCAAAATTACCTTGCATTAATTTAAACTAATTTCAAAGCTCTTTCAGGCAGCATTTGATAATGAGAACAAATTTATTTTGAAAAACAAAACAGAAAAATATGTATTTTGGCCTTCTCTGGATGCACAAAGGTATTCAAGAGCATTGTTGATCTTCCAAGGAAATCTCTTGTAAAACAAATGTAAGCTTTATGATGACAAGGAGCTTAGCCCCATTCTTTCTGGAACATATGTCAGATATGCTCCTTTATATTTTGTAACAAAAGAAAAAGTTCTTTCTTCTCTCAGGGCACAGTGCAAAAGGGACTATTTACAGAAAGTTTGTAGAGCTGGAAAAGAAATGCTTCTGTGGAGCTGAAGCAACTCTGTCTGTGCCAGAAGTCCTTCAGCCGTACCGTCGGTAGGCAGCAGGAGGGGCAGGCCAGGAGGGGAGTACACAGTACAATAGCAAACAGCCCCTCTGCAGCTGGTGTGGTGCAGTCAGCACGCACCGTGCCTCCCACTCTAGGGGCTGCTGACATTATAAGCAAAGTACTCCCGTAGAAACCTTCACAGTCCAGACAAAGCTGACCCTTCTAGAGCACCAGTAATCTAATTAAAGATTAGATGGTTGTCTAAGGTGCATCAGATGGAACCGACTATAGATGAGCTGTTGTCCCTGTCCACTGCAAAGGCAGTTCAGACGAGTCCTGCATTTTGTACTGGATCACATCCCCATAGCACAGAGCATCCTCTCAAAGGACTTCTGATCATGGGGTGCAGCTTTCCCCCATTGCAGGCTGCCATGAGGAGTAGTGGCAGAGTCAGGGGCAGGTGTGGCTTCGTGCCTGCTGTCAGTCTGCTCCTGCAGCACAGTGAGGTGAAACATCTTATCCCTGCTGTTCCCGGATAGAGTGCAAAGCATCTCCTACAGGCAATGCTCTCAGCAGGAACTTGCAGGACTCTGTACCTCAGCACCAAGTGCCACACATCTGGGGCCTTAAATATATATTTTTAGAAAGAAGATACACTTTTCTGAGCTTTTGTGGCCCAGAATTCACAGTGGCTTTGGCTCTAAAGCCCTTTCTCAGAGTCCACAGTGCCTTTCTGGAAACATAGCAACTTAGCTGCACTGTGGGTAAACAGTGCTTTACTTCTGTTTTCCACTGTCCCAATTAGTATTGTTGGCTTTTACCTTGTCCTCTGGTCCCTTACTATTGCTTTGGTGGCGTAAAAGAAAGAGAAATCCATGTTGCAGTCACTGTGGCAGGCTGGGTAACCTGAACTATAGCTGCTCAGTACACCAGGCTAGCCTCCTGATGGTCCTTGGCTTTGGAAATAATTTTCCATTAATTATCTGCAAAATATTTACTTTAAAAGTGCTGTGAACAATCAGGCCAGGAAGCTTGTTTACTTGAACATTTCCTCAACAAGAGTGCAAACACCATTGACGTGAAGTTTTTATACTTTTCTCCCAGCTCTACATAAACGCTGTGTAGCACTGATCAGGATTTTGCTTTGGTTAAAGGAGAACAAGACCCTTGGTGTTTATTTTTTCAATATATGTGTATTGTTAAAGAAAGTTGCATTAATCAGTGACTTCCTCTCCATGTAGATACTGCAACTACCTCTTTTTTTTTTCTTATAGGCATGTAGCCACCGCTCTAGCTCAGAGATAATCTGCTGTACTACACCTTCACTGAAAGATTTCAATCTCCAACCACCCTTTGTGACCAAAGTGTTCTTTATTTTTGATGGTGTCAGCTCCCTGTACTTTGATTTTGATTACGTAAATAATCCTGTATTTAAGCATTTTGAAAAGACAGTGTTCATCTCAAGAGGCAACCAAAATGTTCTGGAAATTAAGGTAAGAAATGCTGAAATAAGTTTTTCAATTATTTGCAAGTGCACATCAGCAGCACAGCGTGGAAGAGACGTTTTGATGAAATAAAGGAAGCCCCAAGGAAGCGAGGGCAGAGAGAGCACTGTGTTCAGTACTGCATTCACCCCAGCCCACTTGTCACCATTTAAAAGATTCAGAGCTGAAAACAAAGATATGTGTGTGTACCAGGGTAGTTGTTGTCATCAGGTTAAGTGGGAGAGGGGCTTTCCTTTTCCTCATGGGAGGACCACGCAGCATCAGCTTATGAGTGCAATAGGCTGCACCACCAGTTCAGGATTAAACATGGCCAGGAGCCCAGAATATGAAATATGTGGTCTGTGTGTAAGCCCTGGCTCTTACTGTCCCATGGGTATGTGTCCTTCCTCACAAAATATGTGGTCTGGCTTCTTCAGTTCTCTGGAGCTGAGGGAAACTCTGGCCTGTTGACAAAGTCACTCATGAGGATCAGTCACTGCTGTAGCCTAAATATTTATGGATCCATGAAAAATGCAAAGTTGATGCTGAATGCCTATTCAAAGTGCACTGAGAATAGCCTACATAGCACTGAGAAGCATCTCTTAGGAATTTGGGGTCCTCAAGAGCACAGGTCTCTCTCTACTACAGTGCTGTGGAGAAAGTTAAATCCATTTTGCGAGAGTCCAATTTCTTGAAGTCTAGTTTTTTCTGAGTATTAAATAGAAAAGTTATAAATATGGGTATTTCTAGTTTACACTGAATGCTTATGAAAAATTTTTGGTATTTATATGTTATTTACATAGATATCTATAATCTATATAAAATATAATTGATAAAAATGTTTTATGGAAGATAATCAGTCCTAATACTTAGGTTATTTCTTCGTGTCACTCCTGCATAGCTCTGTAAGCCAAAACTTTTACCTCATCACAATGAAAAAAGCTTGAAGCCCTAAGGTCTTTGAACCCAACATGGTCCAGTGGGCCAACTTCTGGGCTGCAAGACATCAGAAGGATTACTTCAGAATTCCTGTCAGCTATGCTGAGTTCCAGTCAAACTCTGCATATTAATCCATCTCTGCAAAGTGTTTTAGGCAAATACCAAAGAATTATTGGTCTGATTTTTACTTTTTACATTGTTTTTTTCTACTTTGAGCTCTTAGCCATGCAATCACTTCTTCCTCAATGCAGAGCAAATCTCTTGCTCAGTTATGGAGAAACAGAAAGAGTTCTGATGTGCGGGTCAACAGACCTGGGAATATATAGCTGCTTCATGGCTCAGTGCCTCTGTGCAATGACAGCAGTGTTTTCCAGTATTTTCCAAGTCATGCATATCAACCAGTTGGAAAGAGGACTAGTTTGGAAAAAATTTCAGAATAATGTAGATTGGAAGGAACCTCTGGAGGTCTTCATAGTCTAACCCCATTGCTCAAAACAGGGCTGAAATAAAAATTAGGTCAGGCTGCCTATGGCTTTGTATAAATGAGTTTTGAAAATCTCCAAGAATGGAGATTCTACAGCTTTAAAACACTCAGCTGCACTTGTCTTGCCTGGTGTATCTTATGCTTGAGCTCCCCTCCTAGCTCAACGACCCCCTTCTGTACTTCATCCAGCTTGTCAGTACCTCTCTTTTTCTGTGGGGTTCAAAACTTGACACAATTCTCACAATTCAGCTCCACAAGTGCTGACCAGAGAAGAACAATCACCTTCAATCTACTGGCTCTGCTGCTAAAATGTGTGCTGAGCCTTCATCACTAAAGTGGCATACTGCTGTCTAATTTCACATTATGGTCCAGCATATCAGTCATTTTATTAAGTTTGATATCATCTGAAAGCTCAAGGACAGTGCATCCTCTCCCTTTGTCCAAGCTGTCAAAAGATCTTAAGCAGTATTGGTTCCACTATCGTATAAAGATTTGATCTCTGTCCAATCTGTTTTTCACTCATTTTATATACCATCCATCCAGTCCATACCATCTTAAGTTTTTTTCCTTACTAGGAGAGGTTGTGTTGCAAAACTTGCTAAAACCAAGGCCTGCTTGTCCAATGCTCTGCTTTCTTCTAGAGAGCCAGTCTTGTACTCCTAGAAGGTTGGGCAGGCAAAATACACTCTTGGGAAACCTGTGCTGGCTGTTCCCAGTTGTGTTCTTGTCCTTCCTCTGCCTGGAAGTGCATCCATGAGGACTTGCTCTATAATCTTCAGGGACACTGAGGGTCAAAAATTAGTTGGTTTTTAAACTCTCTAATTTGCTTACTCTTTTATTCTCCCTGAAGAAGTCTCTGGTGCTGTTTATTGCTGGGAAAAAAACATTTAGATAAGAAAGGCTAACTGAGGATTGTCATAGTGACAAGTGACCAAAGTCACAATTTTGTAGTATTGACCTGTAGTGATGGCACCCAAGGCAGATATCTCCCTAAGCCTAATGTCCTGGTTATTTCCTGACAACCAGCTGAAGAACAGCATTAGTGAAAGGTGGTCTGCATGAACAGGCACCAATTTAACATCTTCCTCTAAACAGAATTAGTTATAGTGGGGTGCTTCTTGAGACAACTTTCAAAAATTATAGTCAGGAGCCAAAAGAGCATTACAAGCCATATTGGCAACACTTCCCCCTCGCCCCGTACCCACATTCAAAAATACACATACACAACTTTACATGCCTCATGATCATATTTTGTGGAGTAATTAAGCAAGCTCAGCATGAAATTAAATGGCAGCTTGCTTCAGTGAACAGTCTGTTCTACCAAACCAAAGTTCTTTTATCTCTTTCTTAATTAGTTTCAGAGGGGAGGAGGGAACTTTTATCACAAGTTTTTCAATCTAACTAATCTAGTGTGACATATTTGGCTTTCATCAAATGACAGTGGGTACCGATTGAAATGTTCTGTTTGGTTTCCCCTGATGACCACAAGATGTTTTTGTAAGAAAATGTTATACACAAGAAAACATTAGGTTTTCTATTTAAAACACAGTCAGGGCACTGTGTGCCACAAATGCCAGTCCTCCTTGTCTTCAGTGCCAGCCTCTCAACATCCCACATCATCACTGTCTTCCTATGCCAAGTATGTGGCTCTTCCAAGTCTCTTGGTGCCCACCATGCCCCAGTCAGAGGGGTCATGACAGACAACTCTCTGCTTCAACACCATGAAGACACCACTTCAGAAGGACTCCCATCTCCTGCCAACAAGGAAAGCTGTCAGGGCAGGAGAAATTCTGGTGTTTCACTCCTGAGTCTGCTGAAAAGGACAGAGTCCACTTGCTGCCTTCCCCAAAAGCCACTGATCCAGACCTGCAAGCTGGGTGGCTGACAGCCAAGAGCATCCTAGCTGAGGGAAAAAAAACCAAAAAAAACCAAAAAAACCAACCCCAAAAAAAACAATCCACCAAAAAACTGAGCAACAAATAAATAAGAAAAGCATCTTTCTTCAGTTAACCCAGAGGCCTGGTCTGTTCTGGGGTTGTGATTGTGCACTAAGATGGTGCAGGGACTCTGTGCATTGTTCCAGAGGAGGCTAGGCATGGGCCACCAGAAATGAAAGTATATTTACAAATATAAATCTTCCACTTGAGAAATACATAGCACAGTTGAAATTCAGTGTGTAACAACTGGGATGCTATACAGCACATTTGAGATCTTGGCTGTGCTCTGGCACTTCTGTCTTAAAACTCAGAGTAGGACAAGACTTACTAATTTGCCTACTCTATTCTTAAGCCAGTGCAACACTTTCTTTATGAGACAGTCGTAAGGAAATCTTCTTGCCTCTTTAGGTCACTCTATTGTCAATCTTCTTTCACATGGCATAGGAAATCGTGACTCTCAAAACCTGGTCCAAAAGGCAGCATGGAAACTGTGGTATTTTTGAGCAAGCTGAAGAGGCGCCTCTACAGCTGCAGTAATTCCTCATTGTTCCCAAGTCAACCTGCTCACTCTGCTGAGAAGCCTCAAAAATGCTTCTGACACCAGTCTCAGAATTTCCACGCCTTAGTTAGTTTACTGTTCTTCTGCTGCTTTTAGACTTTTACCTCAGTTATTCCCATCTCTCTAAAAGTTGTGAGGTGGCTGTGCTATCAGGTTGGATTGCAACAGCTACCCAGTACAGCTTGAGGATTAACTTCTCCCACTTGCATTCAAGGGGATTGCTCACCAAGAAGGGGGTAAGACACATTTGAAAAGAGGAAATATTTTTTCTCAGTTCTCACAGCAGCCAGTTTCCTCCTTCTTCCTAAAATTGTAGGCAAATTCTGTTGTTCCAAGAGTAAAACCACTGCTGAAAGCATTTTGAAACTCTTAATATATTTAGATATCATGGTGAATATATTTGAAACTATAATATATTAATGATAACATAATATTCATAGTAGTAAATAAAGGCTGCCATCTTTATAAGTGGGTAAAGACCACCTTAGGAAATATCAGTATTTTTTTTCCCCATTTTTCCATCAGTTTTGGTGGAGAAAAAATTCTAGGCTTTGGTGTAGAAGAAGAGACCAATCAACCACACTCTCCAGGATGATATATTTATCCTGACGATGGAATAATTAAATTAAAATCTTTTGAGGTACATCATTCAGAGGAAAGATATGGCTCACAATCTGCCACAAGCCTCCAAAAGAATAAGCAATAAGCATTCATATGGTCCCCAACCCAGGAATATTTTATTACTTAACACCAAACAGAATGGCTTCGACTAGACAGAAGATAGAGTGCAAAATGGACTTTTATGGCTAGCAATTAAAAAGCATTTACCTGGGGTATGGCTTTGCCATCAAAATAGGACAATAAGCTGGCTCTCCTATACATTTATTACAGTTTTCCCAGGGTTCAGTCTCATTCTGAAGCAGATCTAAAACATATGCCAAAGTAAGATTATTTTTTGCCCCTCAGAATGGGATTCTTGTTTTCTTTCCAATATACCAGGCTTCACAGTGGTGTCAACTGTGATTCCTTCCTCCCTTCTCATGGAAAACTCCCAGATCCAGCCCGTATAAATAGCCTGTATTAGTCCCTCCCTTCTCCCTTCTTTCCTTCAATCCCACTTAATATGTTTCTTCTTTCATCTTGAGCTGGGCTGAACGTGGGCTAGGGCAGCTCTTAAATAGAGATGCACTCCTGAGCACAAAAGATCCTAAACTTGGCCTTTGGATTCTACTGTCACAATATCAGAAGCAATAATTTCTCACCCAAGTCTGGGATGTGAGAGCAGGTTTTCTGGGTAAGAAGTGTATTTTTCATGCCTCATCTTTACCAAGAATTTTTCCTGTTTGGTCTGTGGAACATGATTTTAACAGACTTGTGTATTATTTTAATTAATTACTTATTTTTGAAAGCTTCATTTCTGCTACCATAACCACTTGCAAAAGAAAATGTTTGAGATGCCTTTAGCTTGTGGATAATATAATGCCAGTCTTGTGTAAACAACGTCGTTATATAATGTGTTCTTTCTTAAACAAATTATGCAAAAATCTAAACAGGACCAACAGGATTAATCCCTCAGACATTTAAAATTTCAGAAGTCTGTATGAGTGACAGCAGATTTTATCTGTAAAGTTTACCATCCTACACTGGCCCCTCCGTCAAAGTCACATTTATATGAAATAAGCCTATACATGCATATTGACAGGACAGTGTAAATTCTCATTAGTCATTTATTTCACAATTTATTCTTCATTAAAAATATCTTCCAAGCTTGTAACTACTTAACTTTTATGAGATGGTTATGTAATATGAAATTGATTTTTTTTTTTCTAAGGGAAATTATATTGATTCAGAAGCTGTTAAAGGTGAGGTGCTAAAAGTTGGAAACAAAAGCTGTGAAAACCTTCTCCTGCAGTCAGAATCAATTCTGTGTACGGTTCCCAGCGATCTCCTGAAATCCAACAGTGAGCTAAATATAGAGGTGAGGCAAGTGCACCACACATGAAATATTAATGCCATTTTTATTATTACTCACAGTGTCACTATTGAACCAATAAACTTTAAGCCTAAATAAAATTTAAGCCTAAGCCTTTGCTTACAGAGATATCTCTATCCCTGTTTGTTTGGGATGGAAATTCAAATAATATCAGCTATTTTAAAATAAATATGATTGTCATTGTTGTTATTTCCTGTTTGTATAGAGACTTTATGGAGCCTTAGGCACAAAGTAGGACCTGAACTAAGCACAGAAATAAAATTATAGTTATCAATCCAAACACAAGAGGAAACATGTGGGGAAAAATGAGAAGCTATAGTGGAGCAGTTTTAGTTTGGAACTCACAAGCCCTTTTTTCAACAAAACATTCTGCTGCAGTCAAGAGGATCAAATCTTTCCTGAAATTTTTTTTTTCTGCATTTTATAATTTCATTTCAATTCTTTTTATAAGAAGAAGACACTTAGGACAAATGATTGAGTCATTGCTTTAAAGGTGGTCTCATTAGAGTCATTCAGTGTGCTACCGCAAATTTGAATTGTAGACATACTGATTTCTAGAATAAGACATAAATCTTTCAATACATTTGTATTTTTTTAAAGATATAGAAAAATGAAATTGGAATGGGATTACCTTTAAACTATGAAACTGTACTCTGATTCACTGAGAACAGGGGAGACTTTGCTGGTCATGTAAGTGTGGTTAGGATCAAAGTCTAAGTAAGTTCTTTGAAGCAGGGACATCTATTTTTTCAATGTCTTTATGACATTCATCTCACAGGATCCTGGGCTCTGAATGATATTCCGATGTGCTACTGCAATCTAAGTAAATAGTAATAACTAATTTGACTTATTAATATGGTAACTAGTAATTTATTTTAATATCAATTTCTTTTTAAAGTAAGTATTTATTTTCTTGGATATATCAGGCAAACTATAAAATCAGATGCAGCTCTCCTTTTGGTGTAGGTCTCCTAGATTTCTAAGTGCCTAGTTTCACATAATAATACATATGCACAGGTTGCATTCAGTTAATATGTTGTATTTTTACATATCTGACCAGTACTAACATTGCATTCAATTAGTTCTACTCTGTGATATTTTCTTAACTTCTAAGAAACAGATATGTGTGACATGTTTCATGCACAGAAAAGAACAAAACATAAAGGGGTTAAACAAGGTTTCTACTTGTTTACTGGCAAGGAAACTCAGAAATTGTAGTCTGCCCAGCAAAGAAGAAAATTTGCTCTTTTGACGGGCAAATCCATCATTACAGTACCCAGAGGGATGAATTCCACAGGAGGAAGAGAAAAGATGGCCAAATGCATTCCAACTGACTGAGCTAGTGCTCTGTGACCTAAAACAGTTTTTCCCTGTTAGCTGCTTGGTGCTTGTTTGGTTGATGGTTTCTGGGGTTGGTTTTTTGTTTAGTTTTGTTTCTTTAAACTGTCAGCAAGCTAGAAGCTGGCAAGGGACAGGCTCACGTGACCTTGGGAACTAAAATGCAAGCATGCTGTCAACAAGAGAGTGAGTTTGATGTTACAGCATATTTGTGCCAGAAGGACACACATTAAAGACAGCTGGGCTGTTTTTTTTAATGTACATGTCAGCCCATATAGCCATAGGCCCATTCTGTGCAGCATATGAGTAAAAGTAGGAATTTAACATTTTGAATTAGCATCTGGTAACAGTGGAACCTTGTTATCCAGAGTGCATGTGAGTGCATGCTGTGTGTGTGGTGTATCAAACACAGAGCTGTGTCACTACCAGAGCTCTTGAAGGTGAGAAATGAGTCATAAGCATGTAGCTCTGTTTTCATGTACACCAATATAACAATTTCTCCACTCACAGTGTCTTATCACAGTACAGCATCAAAAAATCAAGATTTAATATGAGACATATCAGCTCATACTTTAGTACTAATAATCTAGTTCTTACTTGTCTTTGGAAATCATTACACTATTTTTTCTTTGTTATTTCAGTGGAAGCAAGAAGTTTTGTCAACAGTTATTGGAAAAGTGCTGATCCGGCAAGATCAGAATTTCACGGGATTAATTGCTGGAATTCTTTCAACATCAATCTTAATTTTTATCTTTTTGGTGGTTTTCTTCTGGAGAAGGAAGAAGAAACAAATTAAAGGTCTATAATAGTCAATCCCATAAAATAATTCCATTATTATCTTAGATTTTAAAAACTGACATAATTTTGTGCTTTGTTTAACTGCCGTGCATTGCCCTGTTGTAACCTGTCAGCAGAGGTTTCACAATCAAGTCCCAATGTTTAGTTGCATTTCAGTGCTTGGCAAGAGCCTGAGCTGGGTGAAGGGCCACATTATGCCTTAAGCAGAAGGATTTCTGAGGAACTCTGAGCTATTAGGAAAACTTAGTAACTTCTTTTCCCTAATCAGCTTTGGAAGAGGGGATCAGTAAATGTGATGCATGGAATCACAAGTACTTCAGCTTCATCCAGGCTGTGCATGAGTTGTGCAAGACACAGAGTGCTGCAGTCTCCTGGTCTTTTCTTACCCCAAATCAGGAACTTGGTCAGACTTCTGTTCTTCTCTGGCCCCTATGTCTGGGTTTCCTTCCAGTGGGAGCAGCCACACTATGTAAGGTGGGAGGAGGAGGGGAGCGAGTGCATAACCAATTCTTGTCCTGATGCACTATCACAGTCAGACCATGAAGCTGGCCCTAGAGTCTTCAAAGCAGTCTTTGATCTTCCAATATAGCTAAGAGTGGGTCTTCAACGGAAGATTTTTTTCCAGAAAATCTTGCACTGTAAAAATAGATCAAGTTCAAGTCCTGCACATCTGCCACAGCAAGAACCTAACCCTCTTCCCAGCAGAGCAGAAAATCTAAATTTAAATAAGTAGATAAATCAATATTGGCATACTGAAAACATGAGGGTTTTCTAATATTGCTTTCTTCTCCCCCTCTAGATCTGGGAAGTGACCTAGTTCGTTATGATGGCAGAGTGCACACTCCTCACCTGGACAGGCTGGTGAGTGCAAGGAGTGTAAGCCCAACAACAGAAATGGTTTCAAGCGAATCTGTAGACTACAGATCAACTTTTCTAGAAGGTATGACTCTAATTAGGAATCAGTATGGAGGATATTTTACACATCTTGATTTTCATATGTCTTCAGATGATAGCTATTTTGATCAGTATCCTAATTTCAGTTTCTCATCTGATTTGTCTGTGTCTGCATTTTTGGGACTCTCATGTATTCACAGGCTTGCTATTTTAACTGAGCTTCTCAGGTGCTTCCCAAGATCAAAGTGCATAGGATTTTTACTTTTACTCAGGTTGAAGGAATAAATAAAATACAATTAGTAAAAACTCTCTATAAGTATGCTCCACAAGTTATTAGGAGCTAGTGTATATAGTGATTCTGTGTTGTCACAAGATCCATCACACCATGCACAAATCCCCTCAGAAAAGGCTGATTTTAATGATAACATCAAGTGGCTGTAGGTTAAGTGTGTCCCAGTGACTTCCTACATTTATGATAAAGCAGTTCTGTTGGCCCAAAATGGCACATGGAGTTTTGTAAACTGATATTCTTTCATCTCTTAATGCCCCTCCTGTAAAATGGGACATTGTACAATGCAGAAATGTTAACTTCAAAAGTTAAGCTAAAAGGATATGAAGAATGTGACAAATTGAATGGAGGTCCATATGCCATCTGCCATTATGCCAGTCTCAGGGAAGAATAATCCTACACCAAATATGTTTTTGTGCTGTATAATGTGACCTTAAAGTGGGTATTTTTCAGAAGAGCACTCTGCTACACTTATCACACCATGCTAAGCTCCTTTAACATGTGTGGAGACCATGTTCTGTGATTACCATTAAAGAGCCTTTATCTATTAGGAGTTACCACATTATGGTGTGTGAGATATCACAGATAATTGTTAGTCTTGGTATAGACAAAGTCTTGTACTATTTCAGGTGCTGCTGTATACAACTCAACAGAAATAACTCCAAATCTTTGTTCCACCTTTGCAAGCCCCAATCACAGATCTATCTGAGACACAGGCCTGCTCCCAGCTTCCCATATTATTCTTTAATTGCTGCCACCAGCTTGTACAGGAAGTTTCTTGATTGAAAAACTTCCAAAGGGAAAGAAAAGCCCATGCTACTGGTTAGAAGGGAAAGTAGTACATGAGACAAAACTATGCAAAGATCCTTGGTGGAAGGCAAATCCACAGTGGTCATGCAGCCACTGTGTACTGGCAAAGCACAGTGGAGAGTGCATCCAAGAAGGGTGTGTGTTCATCTAGTGTTCCTGTAGCAATGTTGATGTCAATATTATCAAAAAATGAAATAAAAGAAACATTAGAAAACATGCAGGTTTACATTTTGCAGCTGTAAATATTATTTTGCGGCCATGGCTAGATTATTTTACTGTGTTTATTAAATAGATATTTGCCTTTAGTTACAAATAAACACATTTGTAAGTTGTAAGAGTGGTATTTTTGCTCCTAGATAAAATAACAGAGTATTTCTCAGCTCCCAGAGTGATAAAAGCACTTTATAAAAATTCCACAAGTTTTATGCAGGAATAAATAAGGAACATCTGTACAATATTTTTTTACTTTTTGTAATAAGATATCTGATAATTTCTGTTAATAAATTTACTCTCCTTTTTTTGTTTTTGACCCTGAACTAAATTCAACTTATCAACTCCACTGAAATCATTCCAGACTCAAATTGATGTAAACTAAACATAGTTCTTTCATTCAGCCACACAAAATGCTAGGGAAAAGGTTTTAAACAAAACCAATTTGAAATACCTGAACAACATGCCGTTGATAAAATCTCAAAATAGATACTCCTGGATTTACTGAAATATTTTAGTTTCTGCTATATCAGATGGCTCATGTTATTTTCATGAGTAGCACCAACTGTAATATCTTCAGCAGTTACAGGAAATGAATCACCTCTAGGCATTTCCCTGGTTGAATATTTACCATTGGATAAATACAGCTACTCACCAGCACTTTGGAAACCTTCGTGAAGTGTAAAGTTTCCTACCAAATTAGAGCATGACAATAATAAAAAGCTTCATGTTTTCAATTGTTCACTACCTCCTCCTCTCATATGGCCGTAATTTTTCTGTTTTAATCTTGTTACTCCCAATTGCTAGAAATGCTATAACCTCTCTTTGGCAAGTGACAAGGCTTCATTGCATCCCCTCAGAAAAGTGGAAGTTTTGCCATTTACTTTCTTAAAAGTAGAGCTGAGACAAGCATAAGTTTCTAGTGACATGGTTTTCCTGGAGGCTGGCAGATTACCAAGGCATATTTTCATTTTCCCTTTGTGACCAAAACTTCCGTAAAGCCAAGCCACTTCCAAGCTGATAAAATCAAACCTTTCTTACCAATGCAATAAAACTCTTCATTTTTCAAGGAGAAGTTTGAAAGGATTATAACTGTTTCTGTTCATTTTCCAGATCAGTTTCCAGGCATGTCTCAGAATGGATCGTGCAGACCTGCCCAGTATCCTCACTCTGACCTCTCCCCGATTCTGTCTAGTGGAGATTCAGATTTAGCCAGTCCACTTCTCCAGACCAATGTCCACATAGACATCAGTGCCTTAAATCCTGACCTGGTCAAAGAAGTGCAGCACGTGGTTATTGGTGCTGACAGTCTGATTGTGCACTTCAGTGAAGTCATAGGAAGAGGTGGGTACTGCAACTCTTACATTGCAAACTGCTCCTCTTTTTGCACACCCATTCTGAATAAGGGGTCCATACAGAGATTTTTTTCAAGCTTTTCAGCTCTTATAGCATTGTGTACCATATACTGAATCAAGGGGGGAATGAAGGGGGTCTCCTTTGAAGTCAGTGCATCTGATCAGTTGAGAAGACACCATCAGGAGGAAGGAGTCTGCCAACTAATGAGGCTCTTTTAAACTCATGGACTTGCTGGTCCCCCTCCAACTGCCTCACTCTCACCCTTTTCCAGGCTACAGAAAGCTCAGCCAGGGCTTCTGAGCCATGAGGCTGTGGTATGGGAGTGAATCTGCCAAAGGATATTATGTGAAACCTAAGGCACACACCTAAATGGCAGGGGATGCTGAGGAAGGAACACAAGTGACCTCAGCCTTGGAGCCTATTGTCTGTCAGGATTTCTACACGACACAGGAGAACTCCTGCAGTCATTAGTGCACACAGTAAAAGACTCCGTGGCCCAGGTGAAATGCCCACACCCCTTTTCCCTCCTCAAGTTTCCACCAGCTCTGAGGAATTTGCTGCTTGTTTCCTCCCAGCAAATGCTCTTCATATCACCTCATTCCTCTCATGCCAGCTGCAGAAATATGTAGCTCCTGATTCACTTCCCCTTAGTTTTGTCCCTGATTTAGCAAGTCTCCTATTTTTCTAAATTTCTCTCATCACTCCTATTCCTCTACATCTTCATAAGCAAGCTCCCTTTACCTTTCATAGCCGAGGCCAGTATTTCTGTTTGGGACACTTTTAAACTCTGTGTGACTGAGTACCTATTAGTAACCAAAGTACAAACTGTATTTCAGTATTTCTACAGATCATGCATGAGAGGCCTCTTGTTGAGTATCAGAATACTGATAAAAAATTGGCTATAAATTATATTCTTAATGCCTCTTCTGCAGGACAAGAGCCACAAATCAAACAAACAGTCAGTGTGTTTCACTTCTATGTATTACACTTCATCATCCCCCTAAGCAAGGGTGGGCCTTTTTCTTTTCTTTTTTGTTTTGGAAAACTCCAAGTAATTTCCCATTTTTTAAATGTTGAAAAATATCTGGAATGACACTGAGATAATTAACTGTTTTAAATTTTCTCCCTTCTAACTAGAAATGGGCCAAACCCCAAAATATTTTAGACACACCCAATCCAAGCTTTAGGATTTGTGCCCAGGCTCCAAGCAATCTGTGGTCTGATGGGATTTTAGTTGCTTTTATAAAACAAACTTTGGATTAATTTTACTTCAAGCCAAAAGCAAAGCAAACTGAGCTCTGACCAGAGCTTATGACTGGAACGTAGTAAAATTAATCAGATAGTCTTGTTCTCTGTAGAGCTCACACTTAAGAAAAAAAAATTATGCTTTCTAACTCCAAATATTAGTATTTTAAGTTTCCAGTAAATAGTTCATCTGTGAAGGAAGCCACAACTGCATGTACATAATTTGATTTGGAGAAATTAATGTGTGAACCTGGAGCTCAAACTTCACTGTTTCCCAAACTGGTAAACCTGACTTCTCACAGTAAGTTTTGGTAGACAACATCATTTGCTTGGCAGGAAAACACAGGATTTCTGTGTCCCTGGCTGTTCATTTCACTGCTCAGACCATGAGAAAGAAGGCAAATTTTGTTCATCATCTTTTAGTGATATTTTATACTTGGAACTAGGCCACAGAAAAAAACTGCCAAGTGGTGTCATCAGTCTGTGATCAGTAGAGCAGCTCCCAAACCATCCACAGCCAGCACATCACTTTTAATATTCAACATTTTCCATGGAGTAGCAAGACCTGAGCCACTGTAATCCCAGAGTGGCTGTCCTTTCCATCAGATGCATCAAGTTTGTACAGTCCATTGGACCACTTAGCATGGGCTTGCAGATCACTGGGAATCACCAATCCAGTGGTCACGTCAGCTCCTAACTGCTCCCTGTGCCTCCCAGGTGTCCTTCTTTGACACCAATGTCAAAGAAGATGATGGGAATGGGCTGACGTGGGTTTCGTGTGCTTAGTCATTACAAGAACACAAAATATTTGTGGCGCCAGCCTTGTCATTAGTTATACTCTCCATTTAGGTCAAGAAATGCCAATTATGCTGCAAGTAGAGTTTTCATTTTATGTAATGGTGGTTTTATGTAGTGGTGGTTTTATGTAATGGTAATTTTATGAATGGTGGTTTTATGTAATGGTCCGGTTCCATTTATTTTAATATGTTAGTAAGGAAGTGTATATTACAAGTGTTGGGAATTGGATAGAAATGGAGTGTGAGCACTTTCTTACAGTATAATTGCTACCCAGTGGAAAATACCAGAAAGCTAATTTTACTTCTTAAAGCTAATATTGCTCATTTTTTTATACAGGACATTTTGGCTGTGTGTACCATGGGACATTGCTGGATAACGATAGCAGGAAAATTCATTGTGCTGTGAAGTCACTGAATAGTGAGTTACATGTTTAATAGTGAGATGTTACTATTAATTCCAAAGATAACTGGGGTGAACGAATAAATTCCAGTGAAGTATACATTCAGAAACAAAGATTCTTAGTTGCAGCTGAATCAGATTTATCTTTGAAGCAATTCCAATTATTCCAAATTACCACAACACATTGGCATATATTTTTACATCAAATCAAATGTCCATATATTGCCTCTACAAAGAAAAAAAAAACTCTGGAAAATAAGGGAAAGGTAGTGTAATTTTTTTTTATTCTACTGAGTACTGAAGATTTGGGTTTGGAAGTTAAACTGCGGAAGAGTGGGCAAAGCTGCTGGAAAAACAGGAAGATAGTATAACATTTATTAAGAACTTTACTCAAGCATTGTTATTCAATTTTAAATCATTCAAAAAAGAAATGGAGAAATAAAATTAAAATTACCAACAGCCTGTATTTGGTCACTGTAGGAAAACCAATGCACATAACCTCATTGTAATGTGGGAGGTGGAGAGCATGTTTGTAGTCTCTCATTATCACTTTGCTGTGCAATGACATGCTGTAGAGAAATGAACGCTATTTTTTTTTTCCGTTTCTTTTAATTAACTCATTTTATGACTGGATTTCTCAGGGATTACAGACCTGGAAGAAGTATCTCAGTTTCTGAAAGAAGGAATAATCATGAAAGATTTCACTCATCCCAATGTTCTGTCACTCCTGGGAATCTGTTTGCCCAACGAAGGATCCCCATTAGTTGTTCTTCCATACATGAAACATGGAGATCTTCGAAACTTCATTAGGAATGAGACTCATGTAAGTACCTGGTGAGTTATGGAGGGTAATGCAAGTCTGGCCACACCCTGCTCCAACACTTACAGGCTCTCATAATTACATTACGTCTGCAACTTACTGCTGTTCCTACACCTTAACCTTTAGCACTTGCTTAGTCTGGCATCGAGCCCAGCCACAGCACTGCCACTCCTTCTCCTCCCCCTCAAATTCCTCTCTAGAATGTTTCCCAGAAATTATCAGCAATAAGTATTTCTCATTTCCCATCCATAAGCCTCTTTATAAACAAATGTGTTTATGAGATCTACGTCCAGAGACCCAATCATCTTCTGGTTAAACTGGCACATCTCTGTTAACTTTAGAACAGCAGTGCCAGTCATCAGCATCTGCTTTTCCAACTCCCAGGTAAGGGAACTCCATGTCCAGCTAGTGTCACAGTATATTCCTTATCAATATTTTTTCTTCTTATCTTAAGAAAGAAAAACAGGAGCTATACAAACTATGTATACTCTTTTATCAGCAATCTTTCCCATACAAGCTATACAAACAGGAGTTATACAAACTATGCATACTCTTTTATCAGCAATCTTCCCCATTTCCATTGAAAGACTGTAGATTCCTCAAATGTGCCTCATTGCTTTCTCTCAAGTAGAAGACCACAGATATTACCTCAGGCAGTGTAAGCCCACTTTGCACTGTAGTATTTCACCTATTTCACAGTGTTAGAACAATATAAAGTGAGTTCTGAGCCAATAGGATTTTGTCCTTTCTTTTACGGCAATCAGCAATAGCCAGTACAATTTAAAAAAAATTCATTTCAGCAAATTCTGGAGGAATTAAGCTTTCTGAGGCTGGGACCTGCCTTGACTTGAGCTTCTTTCCTTCTACAAGCACCAGGACCCTTGTCTCTAAATAGTGCCATGGTCCTTCCTGAAATAAATAGAATAGTGATCACAGTTGAATCAGATTGTTCCACAGAAGAAAATTATGAGGAGCAATGTCAAAACCACAAAAATCTGTAGGATCCTTAATATTACAAGTCACATGATTGCCATAAAAGATTTACAGGTTTTTGTCTGTACTTATTTTGATATTTAACATTTGAGTATCATCTCACCATGTAGGCAAGAAGAAAGAGTTAACAATCATTGCCAAAAATCTTCCTCTGGTAACTGCTAAGGTCTCATCTGCCTTTTTCATGAAATCATACTGATGCACCTATTTTGTGCCAAATAGGACTTTCTCTTCTCTTGGTCATCTCCAGCAAATGAGCTCTGAGTTCACAATTAGTGCCTTCTACTGTGTTACATACTATCATCCTTAAGTCCAGATATGCGAATTTTTTGTATCATCTGTGATGCTGCAGTTTCAGCATAATGTTCCACTTCTCAGGTCAGGTTATGCTGCTTATGCTGCAAACTCTACTCTTCTGGAGACTGTCAGCTCTTTTGTTTTCTTATAGTGTGTTTTCTCACTGGGGGTAAGAAGCTGAACTAAACTTAAACCAGTTTCACTACAAGCACCAACCTTTCTTGATCATTCTGGTGGCAGGAGAGCTGTATAAAACCTAAAGAGTCACAGCATAAAGCAGTCCAATCCTTAAGCTTCTGCATTCATTTTATCATAAATGTTTGTATTTTACAGAATCCAACAGTAAAAGATTTAATTGGATTTGGCCTTCAGGTTGCAAAAGGAATGAAATACCTTGCAAGTAAAAAGTTTGTCCATAGAGATTTGGCAGCAAGAAACTGTATGTAAGTACAAACATCTACTTTCAGCCACATTACCACACTCTTCTGTGTAAAACAGTGAGATGAGATAAACTGAAGTTTCCAGGATTCTGCTATTTTTTAGTAAAAAGATGGTGGTTTTTTCATTGCTCTGCAATTATACTGATGTTTGTCTTGCATACTGATGAGCTACTCATCTTGCTAAGGGCTCATTTCTAACACATAAGCTTTTTTTGAGTGTGAGAAATAAGAAAGCTGAGGTGAAAGCGTAGCCTCTCAAAATCATTGGTTAGAGTTTAAAAGGCATCTCCTAAGGGAAGTTAAACTGCTGTTGCCTCAACTTGCTGTGCTTCCACCCAGCCTCTTCAGAAGCAGCATGTCTCTGCTGCCACACCTAACCAGGAGGGAGAGGAACACAGGGGAACTTGGTGAGAAAAACAGGAACACAAAGAAAAACCAGTGAGACCTCTTGACAATAGTCTTTCATTACATGAGTATGAGCTTACTTTGGCTCAAACAGGCACACAAATTATTATTCAAAGAATCTTAGTAGTGTCTGGGAAGCCAGACAGTTCTGTTCCACAAAGAAAAACTGATACAGGATTTGCCAATATGATTATGCTGATTTATCACTGATGTTGTGAATTAATGAGGCACAGCCTTAAAGTTTATTTTTAGCACATCATAAACTGGAACTCTGGCTGCAAAAAGGTCATTAACCTGTGACATCAGATGTTTTACTCTTTTTTCAAGGGTGCACACCTGTGCAGCTGAACAATCTCTGAAAAAGAATATTTTGTTACAGGTATTGGTCTTTTTAAGGGATGAAAAAAGCCACAAGCTTTTCATATTTCCTAAGACGAAATGCATTGGGTTACTGAACAAAAGACCAAGTTCATCTAATCAAAGTCCAAATGGTGGCAACAGGACATTCCCTTTGGCCTACTGTCTCTTCCTTGGGTGAGGAAGGAACAGCTCTCAGGGTGTCTCACATGACCACTGAATGTACTTCTAGAGGGATCAGCACTTCAGAGCCTGGAGAGCTGCAGCCACAAGACTCACTTTCCCCAGTGGCCATGTGCAATCCAACACTCAGTACAGGCCCTGCTGCAATGGGCCTTCATCAGATTAAGTTACAGCATCAATAAATACAGCAGATAGTCCCATGTACTGACTTCAACAGACCAGAGTTGTCCAGACAGAAACCTCATAAATTCAAGACAGGGAAATGTCATGTGCAGACACTGAGAGAGACAGGATCATTTAGCCTAGAGAAGGTTCAAGAGGATCTTATCCATATGTATAACTGATATGGTGGATTAAAGAAGAGGAAACCAGGTTCTTCTAAGTGGTGCACAAGGACAGGCCAAGAGGCAGTGGGCACAAAGTGAATTAGAGAAAATTGCATTTAAACATAGTAACGCTTTTATTGTACGGATGACCGAACACTGGCCCAGGTTGCCAGAGAGGTAGTGGAGTCCTTATCCTTGTAAATATTCAAAACCCACCTGGTCATGGTTCTGAGCAACCTGTAGAAGCAGACCCTGCTTTGAGCAGGGGAGATAGTGGTGAACTAAATGATCCTCAGGGGCCCTTCCAACCACACCCATTCTGTGACTGTGTGATGCTGTAAAGAAGCCCAAAAGGAAGTGCTTGCTGTGACTAGGTCAGCACATGTAAAGAAGGACAGGCCTGAAAATGCCCAGACCCACGCTCTGTTTGTAGCAATGATACCATTTATCAGGACAAATACCAGGCTTAGGAGAAGCCAAGCTAAGGAGGTCTTCTGGTATGGCAGAGCCGTAACCCCAACAGAACTTTTGTTACACCATAATTTTCCCCCAGAATACACACCAAACTCATCCTTAGTTACAGGACTATGTTATTACATAAATAATATATACCAGTCACTGAGATAATGATGGACCCCTCCTTAACAAAACTGAGAGTAAGTAGAAAAGGTGATGCATTAACTTGGAAATAAAAATGAGCAGGTTTTAGGGATACAGAGGAAAAAACAGCTGTGGAAGAAATGATGTAGAACTCAATCAGGATGTATAGGCTATTAGCAAAAATCTTTTTATACATAGCAATTGTTTTAAAATAGCTGTAATTCGAATTGTATTATCAAAACAATATCAGTAATTTCCTGAGTTCATTCACTGTGTTAAATGGGTGTCAAATATACTTTGCTGCACTTTTGTTTCAGTGTTACATTAGTTCATAGATGCCAAATAAAGTACTGCCATCCAAAGTCACAGTCTCAGAAATGCAAGTCAGTCATTATAATCCACCAACAAGGTTAAGTCTTGCCCACTCAGTTGCAAATAATATCTCTTGTCATTTCTCTAGGTTGGATGAAAAATTCACTGTCAAGGTTGCTGATTTTGGTCTTGCTAGAGATGTCTATGATAAAGAATACTACAGTGTGCACAATAAAACAGGAGCTAAACTGCCAGTGAAATGGATGGCTTTAGAAAGTTTACAAACTCAGAAGTTCACAACAAAGTCAGATGTGGTAATGTAGAAACATATTTGTATCACCTATTTATTTCTTGTATATTGCCTGAGGCATCTTTCTAGTATTTAATTAATGGAACAGCTCCAAATGAAAACTGATATTTGAATCTAGCTTTTGTTCACATAAGAACAAAAGAGTCTTTCTACATCCAGAAAGTGTATTTGTCCCAATCACTAAGCAAGAAGTTGTTGACCTGATTATATGTTACTGCTCAGGAAAGAATTAGGAGTTAAACCCTGTTCCAAGGGAAACTATGAACATTCCAAGAAGCCAAGAACTCTGCTATAGGAGGGGCTCTGGAAAGCTTGACAGAACAGGTTAACTTGGAGACTCGTAAAAGTTAATAGTTCTCCAAAATACTTCATTTGCTTTATAAATATTTACTGGCTGCCTACAGCAATCTCTAGTATTACCTGGCCACGTACAAAGAAAAAATTGTTACAATGAAGTCATTGGCTGGATTGCTTTGTGGTTTAGCTCTCTGTTCAATCCAGATTCAGATTGACCTGTGATGCATAGAATTTTCACCATGTATATTGTCTTCAGAACGTATTTACCCGAAGTTCGTCAGATCATCAGTTCATGTAAACTGGCAGAGCTCCATTAACCTCAAAAGAAGTCTGCCAATTTATACCAGCAAAGTAGCAGGCCTATAGGCTTTTATTTTCTTTCATTTACTTAGTTGAGGTTCTCTGGCTCTTATTTATGTGGCTCCTCAAGTCCCTACAGCATTTATTAGCCCACTTAAAAGAAAGCTGAGTGCAGTAAAACAACTTTTCAAAGGGAAAATCCATGCAGTTGAATGCTTAAATCTGTCAAACCATCTTCTAAAACAGGAATGTAAAGCCCTCCAACCCTTTAACTTTTTATTTATTTCTTTGGTTTTTTAGTGGTCCTTTGGTGTATTGTTATGGGAACTTATGACACGAGGGGCACCACCTTATCCTGATGTAAATTCTTTTGATATAACTGTTTACTTACTACAAGGAAGAAGGCTACTGCAACCTGAATACTGCCCTGATCCACTGTAAGTAAACAGTTTGCAATGGCTTCTGCAAATGCTGCTGATTCTTCTGCTATAGTAATTGAGGAAAGAGAGAGTTGGTTTTTTTCTTTTTATGTGATTTCATAATTGAACACTTCTTCTATTTGAATGGCAGGTATGAAGTCATGCTGAAGTGCTGGCATCCGAAACCTGAGATGCGTCCAGCATTTTCTGAACTTGTTTCAAAAATATCAACAATCTTCTCCACTTTTATTGGGGAACACTATGTTCATGTCAATGCTACTTATGTCAATGTCAAGTCCATTGCTCCCTATCCTTCTCTTCTATCATCACAAGACAACACAGACGTGGATGTTGACACATGACGGGTATGTTTGAAATTAAGGAAAATCCATTCTTCGTTGTATGAACAAAAAGCAAAACATTTTGTCCACTAGTTTTTACTGCCCAGTCTTTGTGAGAACACTGTTGCACATGTTTATGTTGTTGCCCAAGTTGCACTAGTACAAGGACACAATATCATACCGTTTAAGGATACAGGATTCCATAAACCATCACAGTAATTTCCAAGTATTTGGAGAATGCCATGAAAAGAAATGTGGTGTGCTACCCTCCAGAGTTAGTTCCCACAAACTGTCATTAATGTGTGCTCAGACCCAAGAACAAATGCCATGGAAGTAGAATATCAATCAGTATGGCTGGAAGGACTGTTTCTGTGCATGTACTTTAGGATAATGAACAGTGCAGAAATGGTTTTCACACAAAAGGCCAAGAAATGCATTGAGAATTACAGGAGTTTAAAATGTATTTTCATCCCACATGGGGAAAACTTTGGATTTTTGAACTACATCAACAAGGTTTCTAAGAACCTAGGAAGCCAAGATAGCCAGCCTCATGGTGTCTTAACAGAAATCAAAATCAAGAAATGGTGTGCAGTAAAATAAGTATAGAAAAGTATGACTGAGTAAGAACTGGGTGAGGAAGACCAAGACAAAACTGGAACTGAACCTGGCAAGGGATGCAAAGAATAACAGAAAGGGCTTCTACAGGTATGTTAATCAGAAAAGTAAGGCCAAAGGTGTTCCCTCTCTGTTAAACAGTGCTGGTGGATGAGGAGAAGTCTGAGTCCTCACACTTCCCTCAGTCCTCAGACTTTCCTCAGTCTTCAATGGCAACATTTCTTCCCACACCTCTTGAAAGGATGGACAACAGGATGAGGACTGGGAGAACAAAGCCCCTCCCACTGTAAGTGAAGACCTGGCTCATGACCACCCAGGGAACCTGGATGTGCACAAGTCTATGGGACCTGATGAAATGTATCCCAGAGTTCCGAAGGAATTGGCCTTCACCAAGCTGCTCTCCATGATATTCAAAGAGTCTTGGCAGTCAGGGAAACTCCCCGGTGACTGGAAAATGGGACCAGTGTACCTATCTTTTAGAAGAGAACAAAGAACAGCCCTGGGAACTACCAACCTGTCAGCCTCACCTCTGTGCTTGGGAAGGTCATGGAACAGATCCTCCTAGAAGGCACATGATGGACAGAGCAGTCCTTCACCAGGATTCAAGACACCAGCACAGCTTCTCCAAGGGCAGGTCCTCCCCGGCCAGCCTAGTGGCCTTCTATGATGGAGTGACTACACCAGTGGACAAGGGGAGGTATACAGATGTCATCTACCTGGGCTTCTCTAAGGTTTTTGTCACAGCCCCCTACAACCTCCTCTCTGAACTGGATAGAGATGGATTTGATGGTGGACTGTTGGATGGTTAAGAAGTTGTTTGGACAGTCACATCCAGAGGATAGAGGTCAATGGCTCAGAGTCCCAATGGCCATCAGTGACAGGTGGTGTCCCTCAGGGGTCAGCACTGGGACCAGTGTTATTTAATCTCTTCTTAATGACACAGACAAAGGGCACGAATGCACACTTGGCACATTTTCAGATGACACCAAGCTGAGAGGTGCAGTTGACACACCTGAAGGATGGGATGCCATCCAGAGGGACCTGGACAAGCTCAAGAAGAGAGCTGGTGAGAATGTCATGAGTTTTAACAGGACCAAGGGTAAGGTGCTGCAGCTGGGTCAGGGCAACCCCTGTATCACCACAGGCTGGGGGAGGAACAGATGCAGAGCAGCCTTGCCAAGGACTTGGGGTGCATGAGAGGCTGCACTGAGCAGGCAAAGTGCCCTCCCAGCCCAGAAAGCCAATTGCATCCTGGGCTGCATCAAGGGCAGCGTGGCCAGCACATCAAGGGAGGGGATTCTGCCCCTTCTCCAGTCTGGTGAGACCCACCTGGAGTGCTGCATCCAGCTCTGGGGCCCATCCCAGAAAGGATATCAATCATCAACCATGATGATTAAGGAGTTGGAGCACCTCTCCAGTGGGGAAAGGCTGGGAGAATTGGAATTGTTTAGCCTGGAAGAGAGAAGGCTATGGCATGACCTAATTGCAGCCTTCCAGTACCTGAAGGGAGCCTGCAGGAAAGATGGAACAAAGACTATTTACAAAGGCATGTAGTGACAAAACAAAGGGGAATGAGTTTAAACTGAAAGACAGTAGGTTTAAATTAGATATTGGGAAAAAATTCTTTACTGTGAAGGTGGTGACACACTGGAACAGGTTGTCCAGGAAAGTTGTGGATGCCCCATCCCTGGAATTTTCAACATTAATCAATACACCCACAGCAGAGGGGCTGGAACTATATATATATAATCTTCAAGGTCCCTTCCAACTTAGGCCATTCTATGATTCTCTGATTCTATGTCTTACCAGTTCTCTGGTATAGTCAGACGGTACAAAAAACAAAGGGAAAATCATCTAGCTTAAAGCATTCCTAGTGTCAACATTATTCCAACATTCAATCATTTATTTGAGTCAAACAGTCTACAGCAACAGATCTCCTGCTGAAAAATGAAAAGCCTCCATTTCTTTCAATAAACAGTGAATCACTCTGGGAACTAAAACTTGAAGGCTGCTGTCTGGTGAGTCACTTGCTGAGCAGCTGAAGCTCTGCCACCTCCCCTTGGGTAGAGCTACTAACAAAGGTGAGCAATGAGCAGAGGTGTTGCAGTCTGCCCTGACCTAAAAAGACCCCACCATTGCAGGCATATCAGTAACTTCTTCATACCAATCCTGAAGAGCAGAGAAGACTGATCAAAAGAAGAAATGGCTTCAGGCCCTCTTTACTCTCTTCTTGGATCACACAACCCAGTGAATTATCTACTTTTGATGCTAAGTTATGACCAGAGAAACAATTTTGAAAAGAGATAGTAAATAAAACTTCTATTCATTAGGGAAGAGTACTATAACTTTAGGGCAAACATCACATGTCATTTCTGTTCCTGTGGAATTCTGTGCATACTACTGTATAGTTTGTTTAGAATAGAATAGAACTGGGTTTGCTGGTGTAAACACATAAAGTATTCTATTTTTATATTAAAAAAAAAAAAGTTTATTTTTAATGACATTTACAAAGTTTGGTTAGGCCACAAAATACTGCACTGTGAACATTTCAGAAAATGTATGTCAGTGTGTCAATGTACATGATTCATAAACTGTAGCAACCTTAAGAAATACTGTGTAAATATTAAAAAGGAAAATAACTGACTGTAAACACACTCCACCCTAAGTATAATATCTGCATTGCTGCAGGCCAACCATTTTAAGATCTTCAAAGAGAGGTAATGCAGATAAAGAACTGATATTAGGGAGATATATTGTTCTTAGGAGACTGTGTAATAACTGAAAGATTTATAATGAGGGCAGAGTGTGTAGGCAAGCTATGAGCAGATAATATTGTATTGTGTTTCATCACCACTTTCATTTCAGAAATGAACTTTCATGTCTGCTGAGAGTGATACTAATTGTAGATTGCTCAAGGACAAAAGGCTTTGCTGCAGGCAAAAAGAAATCATCTCTATGGTTGTTAAAACAGCTAAGGAAGTTTATGACACAAAGATTTGGAGAAGTTACTCCAAACTTGTACGTACATGCTTAAGGAACGCTGCAATGTGAAACAGAGGACATTTTTACTATTTATGAACTTTTGCTTAATAAAGTTAATGTTGTGTCTGGGACACTTGTAAGAATATGTGATTCTGGTAAGGTTTGATGTTAGTAAGTTCATATATCAGCAAAGAGCTGAATGGTACTTATGTTTATAGTTGTTGTCATGACCGAATAAACATGTTATTAAAATGAATTATTGTAATAATTGTAATATTGTAATAAAAACTGTTAAACTGACAAGTTTAACTGACAAGTCCATATGCTTCTTCTGATTACCATGGGAAGAGAGGGGAAAAAAACTCTGAAATCTAAAAATAGAGAGTGCGGCAATAAATCAAACACAGAGTTAATCAGCCTCCTAGTCATACCTGCGTCAGAGAAAGATACCAAATATTTGTTGTCAACAACTATAGCATAGTTTGTTTGAATAGGAAGCCTCTTGCCTAAGCACAGGCTCCACCCATGCAGAGCCTTACAATTCTTGAGTTGAGGTGGCATTTGAAGCCTGGAATTTTGCTATCACAAGGAGTACCTGCATGACCCAACAAGGATGCCAGCACTCGCGTTTGGTATCCAAGTCCCTGATCAGTCACAATCCACAAGAAATTTCAATTACCTGAATCTGTGTCCCTCAGGGTCATCCATCCCGTGTTTCATGTCTGTGAGGTGTTTTGTATCTGTGAGAAAAATCCATGGGGCTCTTGGTTCTTCTGGAGCAAGAGGAGCCTGCCCCACGCATTTCCTCCCAGTTAAATGAGATGTCTCCCACTGAATTCACAAGTTCTCTTTCATGAAGTGTATTTTAAGTGGGTATCCCACAAACACTGCAATACACACCATCCTGTGCCTCTCTAAGTCAGATCCTTCACACTTATTTCTCCAGTGTTTTATCTCAGGGGAACATTTTGTACTTAACTCACTCAAGACTATTTCAATGCACATCATCTCATGGACAGCAGGCTGAACATGAGCCAGTGTGTGCCCAGGTGGCCAAGAAGGACAATGGCATCCTGGCCTGGATCAGCAATAGTGTGGCCAGCAGGACCAGGGTGGTGACTCCTTTCCTGCACTCAGCACTGGTGAGGCCACACCTCGAGTGCTGTGTCCAGCTCTGGAAGTTTAGGAAGGATGCTGAGATGTTGAAATGTGTCCAGAGAAAGGCAACAAGGCTGGTAAAGGGTCTGGAACACAAGTCCTGTGAGGGGCAGCTGAGGGAGCTGGGGTTGTTTAGCCTGGAGAAGAGGAGGCTCAGGGGAGACCTTATCACTCTACAACCACCTGAAAGCAGGCTGAGCCAGGTGGGGGTTGGCCTCTTCTCCCAGGGAACCAGAGACAGGACAAGAGGACACAGTCTTAAGCTG